TGGCAATGGGAGAGGCCGGTAAATACATACTTCTCTATGTTGTTGTTGTTGTTGTTATGTGCCATCGAGTCGCTTGCGACACATAGTGACCCTGTGTACAAGAGCTCTAAATGCTGTTCTATCCTGTGCCAACCTAGCCATCTCAAACGCACTTATTCCCACCGCTCCAGTCACAGAATCAATCCATCTCACCAAAGGTCTTCCTCTCCTTCGCTTCCCTTCCACTCTGCCAAACATGATGTTCCTTTCCAAGGACCAGTCCCTCCTTGCAACATGCCCAAAATATGTCAGATGAAGCTTCAGAATCCTTGACTTCAGGGAACACTCTGGCTTCACCCTCTCCAGGACAAACCTGTTTGTTCTCCTAGCAGTCCATGGTATATTCAAAACTCTTCTCCAGCACCACAGCTCAAAGGCATCAATCCTCTTTCTATCAGCCCTATTCTAATACATTCCCATGTGGATCATTCTAACCTGAGCATTCTCACTCTTTAAGTGAGAAACTTGGCTACCACCATCCACTTTACCTTATTGCTCAATTCCTGTGTATACATGGATAGCAGTATTAGAATGTTACCCTGTTTATCAACTAGATTATAAAGCTTATGTGCAGATCCTTTTGCCTTCAGTCTCACATTTCCCATTCCTATTTCCAAAGTGACCGAACTCAGCTCTTTTTCTCCTGTCCCATAAAATAACATTTGTGATGTGAAGTTAGATTCTTTTGTCATAGTCTGCATTCTTTCTTGAATTTTTTTAAAATCTGTATACTTTAAGTTTTACTCTTGGTTTTGTAAATTTCTATGAGGAGTCTAAATAGAATTTTCAATCCTATAATAACAGCCAAATTTCAAGAAAAAAATTTTGCACCCCCTTTTCGAATTTTAAAATAGAATCGCGACATTAGTTATGCAAGGCGTATTCAACATGCCAATAAATATCTTCACAATTAACTGCTTATCAACTTAAAGAATTTTTTTTCTTTTATGTTATATACTATCACGTCAGAACAAACTCATAGCTGACCCTCCAATGTGTTTTTGGAGGCAGTAAATTGCGTGGGAGGACATTGTCCATCTTTCTGACACAAAGCAGCTGGTGGATTCAAACCTTGTACCTTTGATTCGGAAGTGCATTGCCTTTCCACTAAGCGCCCAGAGCTGCCTATATTTTAATGTTGTTGTTATTGATTGCCTTCGAGTCGAGCACAACTCATAGTGACCCTATGAACAAAAGGCCTGAAGCCCCTCTACGACCATCGGCATATATCTGCCAGCTCAGTCTGCCCTCAGCAGTGGAAGAAAGACTCCTAGCTGGTGGAGAAGTTGCTCCCCTCTTAAAAGAGATTGGCTCTTGATACAAAATTCATTTGTTGAGCTATTTACTGAACGCGGTGTTACCTCAAACAAAAACTTAAGTAGCTTAAAAAGTACATGTAAAATAGAACAAAATAAATGAGCGAAGAAGTCACTCTTTTTTTGGCTTATATGAATATTAGTTGTTGTTGTTGTTGTTGTTGTTGTTGTTGTTAAGTGCCGTCGAGTCGTTTCTGACTCATAGCAACCCTCTGTATACAACAGACCTAAACCATGCTCTATCCCGTGCCAATCTCATTGCCCCTGACACACCCATCCCGAGTACCCCAGTCACTGAATCAATCCACCTCATAGAGGATCTTCCCCTCCTGCGCTGTCCCTCTACTCTACCCAGCATGATGTCCCTCTCTAAAGACCTGTCTCTCCTTACAACATGTCCAAGGTATGTCAGACGAAGCCCCAGAATCCTAGCCTCCAAGGAACAACCTGGTTTAACCCTCTCTAGGATGAATCTGTTTGTTTTCTTGGCAGTCCATGGTACGTTCAATACTCTTTTCCAGCACCACAGCTCAAAGGCACCAATTCTCCTTCTATCCTCCCTAGCCATTGTAATAATATTAAATACAACTCCAACCAGAAAAAAGTTGTTCCTCATAAAAATTTGTCATAAATGGAGAAGTCCTGGCAAATAAAGTTGAAAGTATGAAAATTCCCTCAGCAGAAACATAGTGCTGGTGAAGACATTCAACAAAAAAGAAAACTGACAGTGACTAGTGCTATACAGTGTGAAACATTGTAAAATGGTACAACCACTCTGGAAGACACTTTGGCATTTCCTAAAAAGTTGAACAAAGAAACGCTGTATGGCCCAGCTATTCCATTCCTAGGAATATATCCCGAGGAAATTAGAACGGAGATACAAATGGTGATCTGTATATGAACATAGAATCAGCCCACATGTCTAACTGCAACTGAACAGATTGAGAAATTGTGGGGTGTTCACACAGTGGAATACTATGCAACACTCAGGAGCAACGATTTTGAAAAATACTACATAACTTGGGAGAGACGAGAGCATTATGCTGAGTGCACTCAGTCTCATGAGGACAAATACTATATAAGATCATTGTTGTAATAATAGAAGGCTAACTAGTAAAACGTGTGTGGGACCCAAGGGGGGAAGGGGTGGGAGCAGAAGGGTGCGCGTGGGAAGGCGTGAAGCCTCAGAGTTGCATGGTTTGGTGGGTGGAGGGAGAGGGTGAAGGAAATGGGAAGGATCTGGCAGGGACCTGAAAATATTGGGTAATGATGGGTAAGCCGCAATGGTGATTGATTTTCTAAAACATCATGTAGGGGGATGACTATACGAAACGCAGTAAGAATGAAGAGTAGTGGGAAACACAACTTCGTGAGCAAACCAGTATAAAATTTTCAAAAAGTCAGGGTGATAATAGGCATAGAACAATAGTAAGTTGTTCTATAAATACAGTACATGCTAGTGATTGTGTTAAACACAATATAAATGAAGGATTGGATAAAACACAATGTATGTGAACTAAACACAATGTAAACAAATTATTGTGTGCAAACTAATAAAAAACACATAAACAATAACAACCAGTGGAGGGTCACTGCCAACTGGAATCAAATAAACAAGGAGTGTGAGTTTTTTTAAGACACACTTACAGACGTACTTAAAAGGATCTAGGGCTGAAAATATGATGCACAACAGAGTATTGTTGTTGTTGTTATGTGCCGTTGAGTTCTTTGCGACTCATAGTGACCCTATGTACAACAGCCCTAGACCCTGCTCTATCCTGTGCCAATCGCACTGCCTCTGACACACCCATCCCGATTACCCCAGTCACTGAATCAATCCACCTCATAGAGGGCCTTCCCCTCCTGTGCTGTCCCTCCACCCTCCCAAGCATGATGTCCTTCTCCAAGGACCTGTCCCTCCTTACAACGTGTCCGAAGTATGCCTATATACAGAGTATTGTAGAAACATGAAATATTTTGTGAAAATAAACCATGAAAAACTCTTTTTAAAAATAGAATTCATCTGATTTACTGATCTATCAATATGGCATGAATTCTATTTTAACAATTTCTTTTCCATGACTCTGGTACTTTCATAATAATTTTCCTTTCTGAGGGTGAAATACTGAAAATTCTTCTTCAGAGTTGTTTTCTCAAACATTTCATTTTTATCCCAGATTTATATTCATTCAATGTGCTGCTTCTGTAACTTCAAAGTAAGTGTCTTGCTGTCTGTAATTGCCTAGCCTCACCTTCTCATCTTCTACTCTTTCTCCTTAAGATGAAAATAATCCTTGAGTTAGTTCTTCTCTGCCCCTGAGAGATGTCAGAAATATGGCATTCTTCTTGCTTCTTGGATTGAATCAAGTCACTGCACTTATTTTATTAAAAAAAGACAAGAAACAATTGAAAAGAATAAATGCTAACAGATGAGTTTAGTGCACGTAGCAAAAGAAGTAGACCTTCCTCAGTATTTTTCCTGTGTTTTGCAAAGCCCATTTCTCAGGTGTGAAAGTAAAACAACGCTCAATACTGCACTGAGTGCTTCCTCTTCCAGAAGCGAGGGAACCACTGGCCCTGCCTTTCCCTTACCTTTCTGGGTACCTAAGCAGGAGGGCTCCGTCATGCGAGTGAGGGATTTCACCTGGTTGTCATGTTGTGCTGCTTTCGTGGGCCATCATAGATCAGGCTCTCAGTGTACATTACAAAATGTGACCCAGACTCCAGAGGACCATATGGGCCACAGATCAGACCGCCGCTTGCCTGGTTCTAGGTCATCTTCTCATGACTGAACCCGTGATTTTGGCTGTTATGCCAGTCTGACCAAGTGTCACCTGGTTACCAGCACTGGACAGGAAAGAGGGACAGAGGAGTCTGCTTAGGGAGCACTGACCTCCTGTGAATTGTGTTTCTTGTTGTTGTTGTTAAGGGCCCTGAGGTCACCTGTGATTCACAGAGACGTGTGAACAGCAGGACTGACCCCTGTCCTCTCATGGTCTCTAGCATGTGCCCGCCCGTTGTTAGAGTCAGCGTGTCAGTCTATCAGCTTGAAGTCTTGCTCTCCGTCTCCGACCCACTACTGTTCCCAGCATGATGTCTTTTCCCAACAACTTGCCCCTTTTAACAACATGTAAGAAAGATAAGAGACCAGGTTTCACCAACCTTGTCTCTCTGGAACAACTCTCATTCTTTTGGCGGAGCAGAGACTATTCAGCACACTTCCCCAGCACCACAGTTCAAAGGCATTGAGTCTTCTCCCATCATCCTCATTCATTGTCTCATTTTCAGATGCACAGGAAGCAAATGAAAAGACTCTGATGACTTGGATCAGGCACACCTTAGTGATTACACTGACATCATTACTCCTTAGCCTGTCGGAAAGCTCCTTGACAGCTTATTTTCCCCATGCAATCTGACTCCTAATGGTGGTGAAGTCATCTGCAAACAGTGGTGACAGTTGTGCAACTGGGAAGCATTCTCTATGTCGTTACACTTTCAGTGTAAAAGCTATTGGAAGGGAAAGTGTATTGTTATATATTATTTACACCCCCCCCCCACACACACACACACACACAAAATGTCATGGGGATGAGAAACCAGTGTTCCCTAAACGTCCATGATGAATGTTGTTTCTTCCCATCTCAGACCGACAGGCGTCCCCGGGAGCAATGACCAGTACAACGTGGGAATGGTGGGGACGCATGCGCTGGACACCTCCCACGCTGACACCTTCAGCAGCAGCATTTCAAGAGAAGGAACTTTGATGATCAGAGAGGTAAGCTGGTATAAAAAATACTTTAGAGAAGTGTGTTTCTTTTTGTTGTTGTTTTGTTTTTTATTTTAAGAAATCATCTATTAATCTTTGGCTTTAGTTATTAGTGAGTAAATTTGAACAATAATTTTACTAGCAGAACTTGTATGAGTATGGATATTATCCTATCACTGACAACATGTTGCTGTTGTTGTTGTTGTCATTGTTGTTGTTAAGTGCCGTCGACTCACAGGCGACTCATAGCGACCCTGTGAAGGAGAGTCCTCGACACTTGAGTGCCTTTCATCCTCTCTCCAGGTTCATAGGGTTTCCGAAGGCAAGCTATTATGGAAGTGGATGCCACTCCTCCTTCCAAGCTGACAGAATTATATTTCAGGATAAATCCTGAGATGTTCTTTTTTTTTAAATGAATGTGATGTGATTTCTCTTGTTGTTCCTATTGACATATGAGAGTGTAAATGCCACTTATTTCTATTATTACATCAGTTCCAATCTTCAAATAAATACTATTAACTCAGTCTTGCTCACATGTCTGGGTCAAGCCAGTACAGATTATAGGAATATAAATCTGATGGGCAAATTAACACACTTCTAAGTCGCAATTTTCCAAACTATATAATGGACATTAAAAATAAAAAATCATTGTGTAAAAAAGAAAGATAAAAAAAGAAAGCACATTTCTTAAGTGGCAAAAACAGCGTTTCCACAGAGAGTGCTTACGGCATGGATTTTAAGCCTGGGGAACGAGGAGAGGAAGAAGCTGTCTGCTAAATGGCTGAGTGATTTTAATCGCCCTCCTCCTTCGCTGCATCCTTCCCAAGCGTTTGCAGAGTGACTTAATTACAGTAGGCCAAATTCTTCAGTGGGAGCCGTGCAAATCGAAAGACAGAATTTGGACCTGAGGCTATCAAACTGGCGAGCCCAGATGTTTCCCCAACAAGAGAGAAATGAATGGTGTCTGAACAGCGTCAGTGGACGTGTTCTGCCTCCTTCCCTGTAGCTTTATCCTGTGTGTTTAATGTCGAAAAACAGTAGTTCTAAGGTGTGGTGATGTCATCTGATCTAATTAAACCATTAAGCTATTTTGGCAGCACAATGTCCTATGCAGATCTGCTTCAAAAGTGTACCTGTGCGCTTTGGAGGATTTTTGGTTTTTAGAACCTTAGAAATATCATTTGGTTGTCTCTTTCACTCCTCCTTCTAATAGGTAGTGATTGACTGTATCTGCTGATCAGAAGTGCCGTGATGTATAAGAATACACCTCTCTCTTTATGCTTAATCACCACCCTGCAAGTCCAAGAGCAGATTTTCACTTGTAGAGAAAGTAAGGGTTGGTAGCATTGGTCAAAAGGCTACTGGATCTCTGCCTACATCTCTTTTCTCATCTGTAATATTTCATAAGTTGTTGTTGATTGCCTTTGAGTCGAGCATGACTCGGTGACCCTATGAACAAAAGGCCTGAAGCCCCTCTACCATTATCGACATTTATCAAAGTTCATAGAGTTTCCAGAGGCATGTTGTTTAGGAAGTGGATGCCACTCCTGCTTCCAATTTCATAAGTAAAAGTATATTTCATAAATACTATTTCATAAGTAATAGTACATAAATTATTGGATAGTTGAGAAGATTAAATGAGATTATATGTGTAAGCATGCAGTACATAGTTGTAATTTTATCTTACTTTTCCCAAACAGTTGAATTCTCCCTTATACTAACCATTATCCTCTCTTCCCTCTAAACAAAAGCGTATATCATCTACCATTCTCCTTCCCAGTCAAAATAGAGTTGGGGAGCCCTACTATAGTGGGCTTTATTAGCAGAAGAGGGAATAGAGCATTGCACGTTGATAAAAAATAAAGGAACTGTAAATTTAAAATGAGTCCTTTAGGAATTGACAGTGGGACTCTAACTGGAAGATTGGTTGATAGAGCACTTTCTAGAATTTCATTTTATATCCTTGCAGAATCTTTCCAGTAGTTTTAAGGAGTCCATTCACGTATGCTCGAAATGAAAAATGGACTTGGCTGTGGAAGCTGCCGTTGTATAGTGCGAGTCTATAAATCAGTGTGGTGAATGGATAATTTCAGTGGAACTGTGAACGGCTTCTGTGCCCATAGCTTGCTATCTGAGATAACATTAGGGAAAATGTTCTGGAACAAGGTGCTTTCTGGCTCCAAATAAAAGGACTCCAATGGCCAGTGTGATTTAAAGTTCGCTTGAGTCTTTCTGATGGAGTCAGTACGCTGAAGTTGATGTGAACCCATAGTTTTAGTCCTGTAACCAGCCACATCGAAGGGGAGTCCAGAGCAAAGGCTGCAGGACCTGAGGGGAGGGATTGTAAAACAATGCAAGAAGTTTTCTTTTCCTTTTCCAAGAGGGGAGTGTACTGGGGGAGGAGGGTTGGGCGGGGAGAAAAGTGCAACAATGAGTGAATGGAAACCCAAAGTCTCTGTACATTTTCATTAAAATTAATAATAAAGACATTTTTAAAAAAATAAAATAAAAGACCAAACTCACTGTCAGTATGTCAAATTCTACACATAGAGATTCCGCAGGACAGCGTAGATATGCCTCATAGGATTCGAAGGCTGCAGATCTCATTGGACACAGGCTACCACAGCTTTCTCCATGACTGCCTCATGGATTTGAACCACCAAAATTTGGGTTGGCAGATGAATGTTTTACCCACACGGCCACCAGCACAGCTATGCTGTTTCCAACATTCCTCTATCACAAAACTGCAGTCCATCGTTTTAGAAATAGCATTTGCAGTAGTGCAGAGTATAAATGTTAGTTGTTGTTCTTGTTAGGTGTTACTGAGTCGACTATGAGTCATAGCAACCCCGTGAACTACAGATCCGAATCCTGCCCCATTCTGTGCCATCCTCACCATCCCCACCATTGTTTCAGGCACGGTGTCAGTCCCTCTCGACGAGGGTTTTCTTTGGCCCTCCACATTTCCCAGAATGATGTCTTTTTTTTTTTTTTAACAAATACCCCCTCTTGATCACATGCCTCAAGTGTGTGAGATGAAGTTTCACCATCCTTGCCTCTAAGAAATACTTCCTCCAAGACAGATGTGTTTGTTCTTTGGCTTGTTTGTCTTCATGGCATATTCAGGACTTTCCTCCAACACCATGACGCGAAAGCATTGATTCTTCTTCTCTCAGCCTTTATTCACTGTTTGACTTTCAGATGAGTAAGAAGCAGTTGAAAAAAGACTATGGCTTGCGGCAGGTACACCTTACTCTTTGAACTGATCTCCACACTCTTTACCACTTTGGATAAGTCCGGGGCAGCAGATTTTTCCCAATACAGCACAGCCTTTGATATCTTGGGGTTGGTTGTCTATCCAAGTAGAATCAAGTCCTTGACAACTTCAGTCTTCTCTCCGTCCATCAGGACGGTGCCTCTTGGTCCAGTGTTGAGGATTTGTGTTGTCTTGATGTGGAGATTTAATCCATATTGAGAATTTGTGGTCTTGATCTTCTGCAACAACTTGCACATGTTCAGCAAGCAAGGAAGCGCACGTCACCTGCATGATTCAGGTTGATGAGTCTTCCTGCATTCCTGATGCCACATGCGTCTTCATAGAATCTAGTTTCTGCAAGTATTTTTTTTCTCCACACACAGATGTGATTGGTATTTCTTTGAGGAGCCAAAAAATTTTTTTTGTCCTCTAGGTTTCCAAGTCCTGCATATTCCAAATGTGAACTTATAAAGTAACAAGAAATTCGGTATACAGTGTATCCCTACTAAACCAGTAAGAAAGTAACTCTGGTGGCATAGTCTGTAGGGAACTGTGCTGTTAACGCCAAGACTGCACCTCTCCAGCAGTTCGAATCCCCTGCTGTTTCAGTGGGAGGAAGGTGAGCATTCACCTCCTGTGCAATCTGCAGTTTCAGAAAATTCACTGCAGAGTCAACGGTGAGTTGGTTCTGACTCAAGAGCAGTTTTTTTGAAGGATGCTCTTTCTTGGAAAGGGGACGTCATCCTTGGAAAGGTAGAGAGCCCGCGAAAGAGAGGAAGACCTCCAACCAGGTGGACTGGCACCGTGACTGCAGCGGGGGGCTCACGTGTGTTGGGTCAGAGATGAAGAGGATGGTACAGAACAGGACAGAATTCTGATCTGTCCATAGAGCTGCTATGAGTTGTCCTCAGCTCAGCGGCACCTACCACAGCATAACAGTGTTGGTGACACGGTCCTATCTCATTTCTCCAAGATGAGTATAGAGAAGAATCCACTCAGCTTTTCTTTCTCGTGTGTGTAGACTACTGGAACACTCCACATCCACTCTGTGAACTTGTACAGCATGTGGTTACTAATTCCCGTCAAGTTCTTTCCTACCCACAGGAACCATGTGTGTACAGAATAGACCTGCTCCGAAGGGTGGTCAAGGCTGACACCTTTCAGAAGCTCACCACCAGGCCTGTCTCCAGAGGCACCTCTGGGTTGGTTCAAACTGCCTGGTTTTCATCTTGTAGTCTGGCATTTAACCGGTTACACCAACTAGCCGTTTTGTGCACAATCACCATTCAAACTCCCCTCTGCACCTGTGATTCAGCCTTTCCCTGCCCACGGCCCCACCAGACCTTTTCTTACTGGAACTACAGACCACACCACACGAGCTGTCACCTGTTCTGTGTCTCTGGAGGCCTGTCTCACACAGAGCTGTTACCTCCCCCTTGTCTAGTCATTCTTCACCCCACACACTCTAGGGCCCAGCGCAGGCTTCCCTGCTTCCTGGAAGCCTTTCCTAAAACTTCACAGTCTGTCCGTGTGGCACCTTACTCACTGGCCAGCCACGTGTCTTGTCTACCCAGCCTAGAACCAGAGCACTAACGGGTCATCATGGACCCTGTCTTGGTTACAAAGAATGGATCGGACTTGGTGAGAGAGGCAGGCACTGATTAAGATTTAAAAATAAATCAATGCAGGTAATGAAAATAGGATTTGGGAAGTGTTCCATAGAATGAGCTCAGTGAATCAGGCCCACATAGGAGACTGGAACAAGAGTTGCCACGTTGTCAGGAGATCGGGCGTCTTTCCTTGGAAAGGGCTCTGGCTTCCTGTGGTGTTTCTCTCCCTCCTCTGCTCTCTGCCTTTCTCCACATTGTTCCTTTGTTCTCTCTTTCTACAAACCAGTGGTCCTCCCACTCACACACATGCTCTTGGGTCTCCTCCCTTCACTGCCAAGTACTCACCTTGTCCTTGTTCAGCTTCCAGCAGAGACCATCATCTTCTCATGCAGAATGTGAAATTCCAGAACACCTGACCCTGCTGGATACAGTGGCCCCCATCAGCTGTGGCTTGAAAACTGGACCACGTAACACCAGCAGGCAGCTCGGAACAAGATGAAGACGGAGCACCCGACACCCTGGGTTCACATCCTGCTTTTGCTCCTCACATTCAGTTCCTTCCATGACCTGCCTCTGAGCTTATCAAGCTCTTTATAACACACTTTTTTCACCTTTAAACGGCGATGGTGGAAAGTAGGCTACACGTTACTGTGAGGATACGGTGAAACGACATCTTTGAAGTGAAGCACGGTGTATATCACGCTTCTCCAAGAAGATGGTGAAAAGCATCAAGATGGTAGGAATTATTGGGATTTTTAACTCAACTTCCCTAGAAAGCTAAGGGTCATGTTTACGTCTTTGTTCCTATCAGGGTGCCTGGCGCACAGAAGTTATTTAATAAGGAGGTGTTGGTTGAATGACCCAAAGTGTGATGACTCAGAAGTGGGCACATTGAGGAATCGATTCAGCGTTCCTTCAGGCTTCTCTCTGGGCCGTTTAATGGTTTTTGTTTAATTTTCTTTTATAACCAGTGCACCTGCACCAGGTTTTGGCTTGAGACAGAATGCTGCTTTGAGAGAGCTCAGTTACAAAATTCTAAAAAGACGGGGTATGATTTATGCTACTGGGAAATTGGGGGGAAATGTTAAAAAAGCTTCTCAGCATTGGAACACAAGTCGGAAGGAAGGAGGCTCTGTCCAGTACATGTATAATTGGAGACAGCACAAGACAGATTAGTACTGAGTGCCCTAAATGTGATTTAGAAGATGTAATGTTTGACTCTGAGAAGAGGCACTGGGACAGGCCTCCAGTGAGCACTGTGGCAAAATGAATCCGCATCGTACATCGTCCAGACGCATGTTGCCAGGAAACAGAGAGGACAGTAAATGGCTTGCCAAGTCTTCCTTGAGCTTCCTGCTAGTGTCAATTACTTGGACCACTTTGGAAATGTGAGAGTCTCTTTCCTCTCTCATCGGCCCTCTGTCACTTCCGGCCAGAAGCCAATGCAGAGCTGGCAATGTCAAGGTCAGGACAGGCACTGGGAGGAAGAAGCCAGGCTGGTGAGATGAGTGAGGCAAGCTCCCAGACCCTGTCAGTGAAGGCAGAAGGGAAGAAGCCTTGACCGTCAGCGATTGCACCAAGTTCATCACAATGCAGCTTACTTTGGAGGCACTCAAAAAAATGTTGAGTGAATGAACAAAAAAAAAAGAAAGAGAGAGAAAAGACTGAGAAAGGGAATTAGAAGCCTCAAGGGAGCTCTGATAACCTCATGGGGAAGGAGTTGAGCTGTGAACTCAAAGGCAGGCAGTTGGAATCTATTAGCTGCTCCACAGGAGAAAAATGGGGAATCTCCTCCTGTTATTTACATTCTCTGAAAACCCACTGGAGGGCCAAGTATGAGCTGATTCCACCTCGCCAGCACAGAACAAGAAGAAATGTCACAGAGTCAGTTGCATAAATGCTACTCAAAACGCATCGTACCAGTGGGGTCAACAATGTGAACCTTGGCTTTCAGGACTCGAGGGGTCCTTTGATTCTCTCTTGGGTATCTGGGATGAGGCTTCATTGTGTAAAGCATTGGTTTCCCAAGTTGTTAGGACATACAACCCTGTTACTTGTACAGCATGTCATATAATATAGTGTTTTTATTTACAAGTCACATATCCACCCTTGTGTACCAGTATGTCATAAAGAGGCAACCCCGACATAGGGAGCTCTGGTGGCCTAGTGGCAAGAAGCTGCACTGCAACCCAAAGACATGCAGTTCGAGGCCACTCCCTGCCCTCTGGAGAAGGATGGACAGTCTCATCCCATATGATTAACTGCCTCTGAAGACTCACTGGAGGGTTGGCTGTGGGTCAGTTCTGACTCGTTGGTACACAGCAAACAGCATACCTCACATGGAGGAGATATTGTGGGCTGCGTGATTATAGTAACACAAAGAAAAAACAATCACTCATGAATTTTGTGGCTCCATACACATGCTCTTTTTTGTTTCCTTCTTCATATAAACGAGCCCTGCTGGCTTAATTCATAGAATTGCTCTGCTGAACCAAAAGTCACAGTTGTCTGGCAGTTCAAATCCCCTAGCTGCTCCCAGGGTTCTCTCTGGGAAAGGGGTGATCTGGTCTCATGCAGTTTACAGCCTTGGAAACACAATGGAGGGTCAGCTTTGAGTCACTTGCAAGTCAGGGACAATGAGTCGTGTTGCACGCATATAAAAATGACAGGAAGCACTGGACCATGCTCTGTTGAGTGTGCATAGCATTCTGAGGGTGTTTGAAACATTGCAAACGTTACCAAAATGTGACATAGAGACACAAAGTGAGCACGGCCGGTGGGGGAAATGGTGTCAAGCCACGTGGTTAATACAGGGTTGCGGCACACCTCTGATTTGTAAAAACCAAACACAATATCTGCAAAGTGCTGTGAAGCAGAGACTAGTAAAATGAGGATTCCCTGTAAATCCACAACAACTCTGAAGAAATAAAGCAAAACCAATTGTCATCGAATCGACCGCAGTATTTGCTGTCCCTGTGGGTTCCAGAGAAGAGCTGCTCCACGGACTGTCATCGCCGTGACATTTCAGCAGTAATTATCTGCCTTTCTCCGCAGTGCTCCTGGGTGGGTCCACAGTGCCAGTCTTTCTGTCTGCATCTGAAAGCTCAGCCTTTTGTTCCACCCAAAGCTCTCACTCTCTGAAATGAAAGACACCAGTGCTTTAAACCAGGATGACCAGCTACTTTACAAGTCACAATATGCCCTTAATGTGGTTGGTTTTAGATGTCGGCGAGCTGCGTGTGACTCCTAGTGATTCCGTGAACCCTGTCCTCTCCTGGGCCATCCTCACAATCGCCGACACGCTCAAGTCCATTGTGGCAGTCACTGTGTTGACTCATCGCATTGTGTCACTTCTCCTTCACCAGCCCTCCGCCTTTCCAAGCATAATGTCCCTTTGCAAGGAATAGCCCCTCCTAACATGTCCCAAGGATGTGAGTGAGATGAAGCTTTACCAGCCTGGCCTTCACGGAACGGTCTGGCCGCACCCTCTCCAAACGTATCTGTGTGTGCTTTTGGCAGCCCGTGGGGTATTCAGGACTCTTCTCCAACACCATGACGCGAAGGCATAAATAAGTCTTCTTTGTCCTTATTTATTTTCCAGCTCTCAGGTGCACAGCAAGTGATTTTTTAAAAAATGCTCGCTTAATGAGAGATTCGGAATCATTAATGCTAAAATTCATGCTGTTCCTGTTTTCAGGTGCTCTTGAGTCAACTGTGATTGAACCTATGAACAGTCAGGATTGAATAGTCAGATTGAACCTATGAACAGACAGGAACCTTTTCTCATTCTGTGCCAGCGCCCTTCTCTCTGCGACACTTGAGTTCATTGTTAGTCACTACGTCGGTCCGTCTCATTGAGGGTTTTACACTTTTTCTCTACCTTCCACCTTCCCAAAGTGTGTTACCATTTTCCAAACACCAGCCCCTCCTAAAAGCATGCCCAAAACATGGAAGGTAAAGCTTCACTGTCCTTGCGTCCAGGTAATGTACTGGTTAGCCTTTCTCCATGACATGTTTGGGTTTTGTCAGCCCACTGGATATTCAGTCTTGTTCTCCAACATCGCAACCCAAAGACGTGGATTCTTCTTCTGTCATCCTTAACCAGTGTTCATCTTACAGATACGTAACACATAACTCAGAAGAGCACAGGCTTGTAACTTGGTAATACGGTCTGCACATCCGGTTATCTGATGCACATACAAGCAGAGACCAACTCACAAAGATCCCGCTCAGCCCCTCCACCCAGTGGGATTTCCATTTCCCCAAAAGGGGCTTACTAAACATCTTTCCTGGCCCCCAGATGCCCTTCACATAAAAGCATAAAGCCTCTGAGTCAGTCTGTAAGCTAAATTGTATTTTTCCTGTCTATGAGGTCACTCGCGGTTGCTGTGAAGCTGAACACTGGGACACTGATGTGTCAGATGCGAGAATGGTCACCCATGGTGGACAGTGTTTGGTGGGGCTCCCCAAGTAAAACAACCTTGGAAGCAGGAGTGGCATCCACTTCTGAAATAGCTTGCCTCTGGAATCCCTATGAACCTGGGAAAAAGGACGAAAGTTATACAGGTGTTCAGGACTTTTTGATCATAGGGTCGCTATGAGTAACCTGTGACTCAATGGCACTTAACAACAACATACTTTCAATGTATTTTCCAAAAATTTTATTTTCTTTTGTTTGCTTCCCTCTCCATCCCTTCCCTTCTCTTTTGACCCTCTGATGTTGTTTTATTCTGTGTGTAAACCTCTTGCTGGGTTTTTATTTTCATGGTCGTAAACCGTGATTGTCCTTTTGTGACTCATTGGAGTCGGTCACTCAGTGTCCTTTGTTTTGGTTAAGTCAGCGCTGTGCGGTACTTAACAAATTCCTGTTTTTCAGGAATGCATAATACTTTGCTGTGTGAATGTGCCACAGTCTCTTCTATTTTCAAAGAAGTATTTTCTAAAGTGTTACTTCTTATTTTCTGAGATAAATTCCATGTTTGAGCGCTGCCTCTCAGCTCCGTGGATTCATTTGGACACTGTGGTGCCTGTGGTGTGTGGAGGGATGTCAGTTAGTGACTTGGCTCTCCGACTCTAACACTCCCCGTTGATGTGCACCCGCAGACGTCCGGAGATAAGAAGCGATCTGGCCACAGTGACAGCAATGGCTTCGCGGGCCACATCAACCTCCCAGACCTGGTACAGCAGAGCCATTCCCCGGCTGGAACCCCGACCGAGGGCCTGGGGCGCGTCTCCACCCACACCCAGGAGATGGACACCAGCACTGAGGTAGGTACCAGGCAGGAGGGGTGGCAGCTCTGTCCTGTTTCTGGGGTTCGGAAGTCCCTCACTCTTCATGGATGAGGCTTCGCCAGGCTCTATAAAATGTGTATGATTGGTTTCTACCCAGTAACTGTTGATGTAAATATTCAAAATTGAGACTGTCATAGAGCGAAAACAGGGAAAAGGCCTTGGATATCATCCAGACCAGTACCTCTTGTTCCTCTCCCCTATTGCCCTCAGGTCAGAACCAACTGATAGCTGACCCTCCATCGGCTTCCTGAGGCGGGAAGGAGATAACCCATCTTCCTTTCTTAGAACCTCTCGGGGATTAGATTGTCAGCGAGGCACAGCCTCTGAGCTAGGAGTTCAGTCCCCCCGGATTATGTACCCATTGTTAAGAATTGGAACACTGAGGCTACAGTTGGTTAAGTGGCTCAAATACAGGTCCATAGCTGATTTGTGGCACAAATAAGATGAGAACTAGGACCTTGTATGTCCTAGAACAGTGATAGAAACTGTGTTGTGTAGAGACTTCAAGACCACCAGGTAAAAAGATGCAGTACCCTTGAACTTTTCTCCATGTTCATAGAGTTTCTGGAGGCAAGCTATTTCAGAAGTGGATGTTACTCCTGTTTCCAAGCTTGTTTGAATCAGGGAGCTCCACCAAACACTGTCCATCATGGGTGACCATTATCACATTTGACACATCAGTGTCACAGTGTTCAGCATCACAGCAACCATGAGTTAACTCTGTACAGCAAATGGACAGACCAGTGCTGTACCACTTAGAAGAATATTTGACCAAAATTGTAGACTACTCATAACAACCTGATGAAGAAAAGACCTGAACACTTGAATAACTTTCATCATTTCTTCAAATTCATAGAGTTTCTTGAGGCAAACTATTTGCTGTTCAGAGGTAATTCATGGTTGTTGAGATACTGCTGTGTCAGATATAATAATGGTTACCCATAGCGGACATGGGTATTTGGTGGAGCTCCCTGGTTGAAACAAGTGTGGAAGCAGGAGCAGCATCCACTTCTGAAATAGCTTGACTCTGGATCTTTTGTTCTTAGTGTTGTTATGAGTCGTCTATGTCTCAATGACACTTAACGACAACCCTCAAACTTTGTATCTTTTTTAAGTGCTCACAATATTAAGACTTGCTGAATGTGTCTTTTCATTTTTTTTTCTTTTTTTTTAATTTATTAATAATTTCAGTGAAAATTTACGGAGACTTTGGATTTTCATTCATTCATTGTTGCACTTTTCTTCCCTCCCAACCCTCCCCCCTAGTACACTACCCTCTTGGAAAAGTAAAAGAAAAATTATTTCATTGTTTTACAATCCCTCCCCCAGGTCCACTCCATTATGCAGCCTTCGCTCTGGACTCCTGTAATGACAAAAATACCTAATAACATATCCCTCTTAAACAGTTTTCTCCTTCATCTGTTTCAATGCAGTATACATTATCAAACCCATCTTTCTAAGTTTCCCCCCAACCCTGATGTCAGTCCTGTTTTTCAACAGTGGCACCATGCATTATTTGTCCTTTTGTGACTGAGATACTTCACTCAACATAATGTCCTCCAGGGTCACCCATTTTCAGTAATACTGCATGAGTTCCTTGTTTTTCAATGCAGCGTAGTATTCCATTGTGTGAATATACCACAGCTTCTCTATCCATTCGTTTATGGGCACTTGAGCTGTTTCCAACTCTTTGTAAGCAGTAATAAACATGGGCGAACATATATCTGCTTGGGTGGCAGTTCCAGTTTCTTTAGGGTATAATCCCAGTAGTGGAATTGTTGGGTCGAATTCTATCTCTGCAACTTTTTGAGAAAGCACCATACCGCCTTCCACAGTGGTTGCACCATTTTACACTTCCACCAACAGTGAATAAGGGTTCCAGTTTCTACACAACCTCTGCAGCATTTGTTGCTTGCTGTTCGATTAAATTTTGCTATTCTGTCTGGGGTGAGATGATATCTCATAGTTTTAATTTGCATCTCTCTTAGAGCTAGGGATTTTGAACATTTCTTCATGTTTTTGTTCACCATCTGAATGTCTTCTTTGATGAAGTGTCTGTTCGTATCCTGTGCCCATTTTTCTATTGGATTATTTACCTTTATCTTGTTGTGGTGCTCAAGTACTTTATAAATTCTGGGTATAAGTCCCTTCTCTGACATGTCATTACCAAATACTTTTTCCCAGTCTGTGGCTTCACTTTTCACCCTGTTGGAGAAGTTTTTGGATGTGCATAGGGATTTGAGTCTTAGAAAGTCACATTCATCTATTTTATCTTCTCCTGGTTGTAGGATAAGTGTCTTTTTAAAGAAACTAAACAAGTCTAACTCAGAGGAAGTACCACCAGGGTGCTCCTCAGAGGCCAGGATGCTGACACCTCATGTCACATACTTTGGGCATTTTGTCAGGAGGGACCATTTCTTGGAAAAGGACATCATGTTTGGAAAAGTGGAGGACTGGGGAAAGACAGAAAGATCCTCAACAAGACGGATTGACACAGTGACTGTAACAGTGGGTTCGAGTGTATCAGAGTTAATGAGGATGGCACAGGATAGGCTAAGATTCAGAACTGTCGTTCATAGTGTCGCAGTGAGTTGTAGTCAACTCAGTGACACCTAATAACAGCAACAATCATAGGGAGAAAAGGTTGTGCCATTCTTGAGTGGCCTCCCATCCCTAAATGGAAGAGTTTAAAGTTCTTTTGTTGAATACCGATCCATTGTATGACCAAGACAGAGTGAAAGATCCCAAAGACCCCAAGAGGGAGCTTCCTGAATTGAAGGGGTTCAGGATAAATCAGTGCTGTATGTGCATACCTTTCCTTAGTCCATTGCTGATTATGTCCAGTGGATTGTTTTTACTTACAGAAAGAAATTATCACTGCAGTGATCATAGAGACACTGAGGTACCACATATGGTTCAAAATGTAATTTGGCTTTTTTCACAAAAGTGAAAAGTTGGAAACAACTCAAGTGCCTACCAACAAACAAATGGATAGAGAAGCTGTGGTATATTCACACAATGGAATATTACACAGCATTGAAAAATAAGAAACTCATGAATTACTATACTAAATGGGTGACCCTGGAGGACATTCTGCTGAGTGAAATATCTAAGTCACAAAGGATAAATACTGCATAATGCCACTGTTACAAAGTGGGACTGACATTGGACTTGGGGGGGAAACTAAGAAAAGAGGTGATAAATTATGTCACAGCATTGAAACAGACAAGGGAGAAAACTGTTTAGGAGTAATATATGATTGGGTGTTATTATCATGACAGGAGTCCAGAATGAAAGCTGCATAGTGTAGTGGACTGCGGTGGGGGGCTTCTATAACAATGAAAGATTTTTTTTTTTTACTTTACAAAGAGAAAAGCAAACTGGGGGAAGAGGGTGGGCAGAGAGAAAAGTGCAATGGAAATCCAAAGTCTCTGTAAGCTTTCATTAAGATTAATTTTTAAAAAACCAAATAAAAAAGAAACCAAAATAAGATAATAGAAGTCGGTATCAGTTTAAAAAAAAGTGTAATTAGTCCGTGTACCTCTTGCTTTCTGGTACTTAATGAGAGCCGTGAAATGCACAATGCCCAGTGAGTGACAGGATCCAGAGATGCTGGACAGTCAGGGAGGCATTCTGATCAGGTGTGTCCTTGAATCAGGACCAACTCCTCGCTAACCCTCCAGCAGGTCCTCAGAGGCTGTAATCACATTGGAGGAGATCGTCCATTTTTCTCCCTCGGAGCTGCTGGTCAGTTCAAACCACCTGCCTTGGGGTTGGCAGCCCTCCTCCTCATTCCCTCAGCCACTCGATTTACCTCTTTGCCTAGGAGCACTGTGTAAACATCCGGTGCACCAGAGAGTCTGCCATCCTTGTTAAAGCCTACGCAAACTGCTATTAGCATCCCTTGCCCTGGAAGGATTTCTTAACTAGTCTTCTGACTCTTCTTCTTTGTTGATTAGTATGGAATGGGGAGCAGCACCAAAGCCTCCTTCACCCCTTTTGTGGACCCCAGAGTATACCAGACGTCTCCCACTGACGAAGATGAAGCGGATGAAGAATCAGCCGCAGCGGGTAAGCTAGAACCTAATTTAGAAACAGCTTGGTTTCCCTTTGTGCTGTGGTTTGGGGTGGAGAGCCGGCACCCACCTTACTGTAAAGCCATTCGCTTCTTAGGCCTTGATGTTACAGTGAAGTTGTTTCTCTTATGATTTTCATAGGAATCTTCAAGAGATTTCTTTCTTCCCCTTTCCTCCTCTCCATCTCCCCACCCAGACCCCATCTCTTCTGTTTTGCATCTGGTAGGGAACCAGAAGTGTCCAGTGCCCCTAGCAAAGGCTGCACGTCCAAGATCTCTGCATTCACCACATATTTCTCAGAAGCAGTTTCTGGGTACAGTGCACGCAGTAGGCACTCCGTCAGTGTGTGTCGGTCCATGCTGAGTTCTGCGAGTGTGTGTCCCACCGCAGTGACGGTCTAGCTGTTGTGGAGGAGGGTTTTGCTTTCTTGACGTCTGCAATTCACTAATCATCCAACTCGGCTTAGGCCAACACATCGAGTGTTAATGTGGGGTGTTAGGAAGCGAACTTTCCTGCTTATCTTCCTGGAGGTGGGGATGTGGCTTTGCTTTTGTAAGATTAATACCAGTCTTCTAAACCAGATAAGCCTGTTTTGCTATTGGAAAAAACCGCGTCTAGAAATGACTTAAAATTTCTACTAAAATATATCTAGATAGATAGATAATAGACAGATAGATAGATGATAGATAGATAGATAGATAGATAGATAGATAGATAGATAGATAGATAGATAGATAGATAGAATATAGCTGTCTTCCAGTTTGTCTTCTGTTACTGAGATGCACATGAGATAAGCAGACGCTCACAGTGTTTCGATGCTGCTTCTCCACAGGTTGTCTTTTACGATGCCACTGACGTTTCCAATTCTTTTTCTCAAAGCTCTGTTTACTAGCGAACTTCTTAGGCAAGAACAGGCCAAGCTCAATGAAGCAAGGAAGATTTCCGTGGTAAACGTAAACCCAACCAACATTCGGCCTCACAGCGACACACCGGAAATCAGAAAATACAAGAAGCGATTCAACTCGGAAATCCTTTGTGCAGCTCTGTGGGGTAAGTTGAGGCTTCTTAATGCTCTTTAAAGAACTAGGCACTCACGTGAAAATCCTGTGACGTTTACTCTCAGAAGAGCACTGGTCGATTCATGGGTATTAAATAGAGGTTCTCGTGTCCTCAGGGCTGTGTTATTTGTAGAAAGAGCTAGTAGCCTGTGGAAATCTGGTAGCTTGCTGTTAAGGAATTACAGTAACAACCCAGAAGCACTCGGTTCTAATCCACCAGCTGTTTTGGGGAAGACAGATGGGCAGTCGTCTCTTCTTGTGCGATTTACTGAAGGTCAGCTATGAGTTGGTTCCAACTTGATGGTGACAAGTACCCTGTGACTGAGGGGGACAGGACAACTCCAGAACTAGTTTAGCACATAGCAGTGGTGTTCCAAAGCCAACAATAGAGGATCTAATGCTCCTCCTGCCCAAGCTCTGTGCCCAGCCCTGTGTGACATACCCGTCATTCAGCCTCTCTGATCCACTCCGCAGGTTTCATGTAGAATCCTTTTACTTCTGCAAAACCAGCTGAGCCCAAAGAAACCATAACTGCCACACAAGCAGATACTCTGTATTCTGGAAGCTTTTGTTATGAGACCCTTGTCTGAGATGGTATTGTCAGAAGGTTTTCTTTTCACACTGTTGGAAAAAGGAGATTTTTTTTTTTATTGGGTTTTTTAAAATTTTTTTTTATTCTGTTTTGTGTGTGTACCATCAAATCGGATCTGACTGGTTCAGGAGGAGATTGCCCCTCCTTCTCCAGCAGAGCAACTGATGGATTTGAACTACATACCTCTGGGATTGCAGTGCAGCTTTTTGCTACTAGGCCACTAGAGCTCCCCAAAAAAAGTTTTTATGTGCACAGAGATTTGGTCTTTAAAAGGTCCCATTCATCAATTTTATCTTCTTCAGATTGTGCCTTTCTGGCTTTATTTGTCAGTCTCTTTATACCATAGAGTAGGCCTTCTAAGCTTGATCCCAGTTTGTGTCTTATTAATTTTATGGTTTTAGGTTTTATTCCCAGGTCTCTAATCCACCTTGAGTTGATTTTTGTGTCTGGTGTGAGATGTGGATCCTGTCTCAGCTTTCTGCAGGTAGCAGTTCAGTTTTACTAGAACCATTTGTTGAAGAGGTTATCATTTCCCCATTTTGATAGGTTTGATTTCCTTTTTGAATTTCAGTTGACCATAGATAGCTGGGTCTATTTCTGAGTTTTCGTTTCTGTTCCATCAGTCTGTCTGACTGTCATTGTACCAGTGCCATACTGTTTGGGTTGAGTGGTAGGTTTTGAGGTCAGGGAGTGCCATGGCTCCCCCTTCAGTTTTGATTCTCAGAAGTGTTTTCCTTATTCATGGTCGCTTTCCTCTCCAAATAAACTTGGCAATTTCCCTTTCAATCTTCTTAAAAAATTAATTTGATATCTGTATTGTGATCGCTTTGGACATCTAGATCGCTTTTGGTAGAATTGTGATTTTCATAATATTGAGTCTTCCTATCCATAAACAGGGAACATTTTTCCATTTACTTAGGTCTTTTATTGTGTTGTACATCTCTTGATGTGTATGTGAGAGAAAGAGCTATTTTCCATGGAATGGACATTTAAAAATTGTAGCTATCCACACAGGACTTCTTATCAAAGCTTTAACAATGGGGATTACTGCCCTGGGAGGAAGGCTAGCTAGATTTAGGTGTCTGAGGAATCCCTCATTCCTATGATTCTTAGACTCCCATCTGGTTTTCTTCCCATAAAGTATGGAAATGGAGGACTCTGTTCCATGTTGAAGGTTAGAATGGGGGTGGGGGTGGCGCAGGGAGAGAAGAGAGAGGAGAAAGACGAGAGAGAAGAAAAGGAAAAGGAAGATCGGTTGTGCTCCCTTCCCAGCTGCCTAAGGCTTCCCTTGAGAAAACCTTGGTAGTAAATGGCTAGATGTAATGAATGAACTCCGTCACCTAGTTACACACTAAAACTGGCCCATTTCATTGCTAGATGGTTACACATTTAATTCCTTGGTCAGACCCTCCGCTACTCTGTTCCCTGCCGCAGTGCCTTTTTTGACCATTAATTTATATTTCCAAGGCAGTTTTTTAGGTTTGACGGGGACCCACTATGGGAAAGATGAGAAGCCAGAGAAAATCATTGATGGAGTGCTTCTTAAATTCACAGGTGTCAACCTCTTGGTGGGAACTGAGAATGGCCTGATGCTTCTGGACCGTAGTGGACAAGGCAAAGTCTATAATCTCATCAATCGGAGAAGGTTCCAGCAGATGGATGTGCTCGAGGGACTAAATGTCCTCGTGACAATATCAGGTACGTTGCCTGGGTGACACGAGGGGGGAAAGTTAATTATCTTGTTTCTCAAGGAGCAATGAGTGCTGCTTCACCAGGTAATCATCAGTGCAGTCACCGTCACAGCGCTGCCGGAGCCAGGTCACCCACATTTTGTAGGGAGGAGACTCTAACCTCCTAAAAAGAGTGTCTCACGTCTGCGTGGAGTCTGACTTGGACAGAAGTGTCGCACAAAACCAGTATATTTATAAGCTTTGAACCTCTCCCAGAACACAGCAAGGATCCAATTAAGGTGTCAGAGTTCCAGTCATGACTCTCTGCTCTCAGATGGAGACATAAAAATGTAGACCTCTGGGAGTGAGACAGCTAGGAAGTGGGAATCTCGCTGGTCTCCTTTCGCATAAGAACTGCCCTTCCGTGCAGTCCACTGGTAAGGTAGCCAGGGAAGCTGGCACGTCAAGTGGTTGAGTTTGCACAGAGGTTTGAGAGTGAGAGTCATGAGGGCTTCACTCGGCAGCTCTCTGGTTCCCAGAAAGACCTTTTCTAAAAGACGAAAGCAAAAGCCTTCTTATTAGAAGTTGACAGTGTGACCTGAAAAGGTCAGTGATTATTCAAAGGAACGCCTTTTTTTCCCATCTTTCTTGTACATTTGAAGGAGTTTAACACATCAGCTATAGCCGCCCGGTGCCTTAGAACTGCGGAGTTGTTGTTGTCGTTGCTGTTGTTCACTACTGTGGATTCGACCTTCAACATGTGGTGACTCAGGGCACAGTGGAGCAAAGCACGACCCAGTTTGACACTGTGATCCATAGGTTTCTAGAAATATGTCACCAGGACTTTCTTCCTGGTTCCTACAGATATGAAAACCCAAACTGTCCCAGAGCACTGAGTCACACTCACTCAAAGCAAAACACAAGCAGCCATTGTTTTAGATGTGTTTGCTGAGCATCTAAGACCAAGAACCATTAACTTCACAGCCAGCCCTGTTTCACAAACACAACACCACAACAAGAGACTGTGTGGCTTTACATTTTGAAGGCAGTTCAGCTTTCTGTTTAAAAGAGATGTCTTTGGCTCACACTTGACTCCCTCTTCCTTTAATCTTCCTAGTGAATGTTTAAAGTTCCATTTCTTTTTATTCTCCCCTAATGAGAGTTACCGAGTAAATTTTCCTTGCATTATTGCCTGTGTTTAATTGTCTCATCCTTTGTCTGGCTAATTGCTTTCTTGAGGGCAATGCTCCCAAATCAGAATCGAAGTCATGCATCTGCCAGTCACCTCCCCAGAGTGGAAATGTACCTGACAGTTTACGCCCCGAACTCATTGTGCTGACAGTCACACATCCCTATTCTGAACAGTGCGAATGTCCCCTCTTATCATGAGGCACAGATGGGGAAAGAGGAAAATGAAAATTGGAGCAAAAGATTCTTAAACTCTCCTGTGTAGGAACAGAAGGGAAGAAACACTGGCCCCCTCCTATCCACGGCAGATATATTTTGACCCATCTATATTCTGGGCATTTGGTTAGAAAAGTGAATAGTGATTGCACAGTGATTCCTTTAATTTAAGTTATAAATATACCCTCTTGTAGAATCTAGTGGGCAGTGTTTGTGAGTTCTCTTCTGCTGGTACATGTCTAAGGAGTCCTGGTGGTGTGGTGTGCTTTGTGTTGGACTACTAACCAAAAGTTCAGGGGTTCGAATCCACCCTCTGCCTCTCAGAAGGAAGGTGAGCCCTCTCCTCCCAAAAAGCCTTGGAAATTCAGTAGAGGTTTGACATGGTCTGAAATTGACTAATGGCAGTAGGTTTGTGGGGGTTTTGATTACAACATAACCGTCTATAAATATGAGGTGTCTTTTAAAGACTGATAGAAATAAAACCCTCATCGCTCAACTTCTGATTACTTAGAAAGAACCTCCCCAGTGGTACTCAGATAATTTCCTGGAACATATAAAATGTTGCTTCTTGAGGTGGTTGTTGTTGTTGTTGTTGTTGTTGTTGTTGTTGTGTGCCGTCCAATCACCTGTGACTCATAGCAACCCTATGTACAACAGCCCTAAACCCTGCTCTATCCTGTGCCAATCTTAATGTCTCTGACACACCCATCCCGATTACCCCAGCCACTGAATTAATCCATGTCATAGAGAGCCTTCCCCTCCTGTGCTGTCCCTCCACCCTACCAAGTGTGATATCCCTCTCCAAGGACTGGTCCCACCTTGCTACATACCCCAAGTGCTTCTTATATACTCATTATTTTCTACATGTTTTCTAATTATCCTGTGAATTAATTTTTTAAATATTTGTATTGGTTTTCATACAATAATTCCTTTACATTATGTTCCACTCATATACATTGCATTTTATGCAATCTTTCATTTACATTGTATTTCATACATTCATATATATTCTATTTTACATCATTTTTTCATTCGTTTGCTTACAAACTTTATGTACACTGTATTTCATACTATTCTTTCACACTGCTTCATACAATGATTTTCATGCATTGTTTTATAAATTAATTTCTAAAATTTAGTTAATTAATTGGATCATCCTATGAATTCTTTACTCCAGTATCATTTTATCTTAGCAAACATTTATATTTGGGGAATTTTCTTCGAGTACAAACCCTCTTTGTAATCCTGTTTTTGTTTTTTTCCCTGTTGGTAGAACTCAGCACCCTTAACTTGTCCAGTGTTTTCGGAATCCAGATCACGTGCACTGAACTTGCTTCTCTTGGCTCCTTTTAAAATTCCTTTTTCTGTGAAGTAAAATAAGGCTTTTTGGGGTAGGAGCTGAGGGGAACAAGTGATCTGCTGACGAGTTAGAAGGTGAGGAAAAGGCAATCAGGTACAAGAATGCCGAACTGTCTGATTGTCAGTCCTCCTTCATATAACTGGATTTCAGAAGCCCCGGACCCTGGTCAACTTCTCTGTTGAGCTCCTGTTCCTAAGTTCCGCAGATATTGTCCTTTGCCTTGGGGAAAAAAGCTTGCTTAAATAAGAAGGAGCTCAGGTAGTACAATGAGTAAGTACTTTGCTGCAAGCCAAAAGGCTAGTGGTTCAAACCCACCAAACAGAAGTGGTCCTCACTACCCACCAGAAAGACGTGACGATCTGCTTCTGTGCAGATCACAGCCCTGCATGTCAGTGAGACCTTGTTCACTAGGGCTACCGTCAGAATCAACTCAGTGGTACGCAACACCAGTAACACTCATCTAAGAAACTACCTGAAAGTAAAAAAAAAAATCCAAATCGTGAATTCATGATATGCATACAGAAAAAAATGCCCTGGAGAGGGTCAAACCATTTGTCCCTTGGAGGCAAGGACTTTGAAGTTCTGTCTCAAATACTTTGGGCATGTTTCCAGGAGGGACCAGTCCTTGGAGAAGGACATCATGCTTGGATGAGTGGAGGGACAGCAAAGGAGAGGAAGACCCCAGATGAGATGGATTTATACAGTAACTGGGCTAACGGGAATAGTTGTGAGATTGGCTTGGGGTAGGGCAGTGTTCAGAGCTATTTTGTATAGGGTCACTGGGAGTCACAGGCAACTTGACAGCACATAATGTCAAAAACAACCCCACGAGAGCTTTGGTGGCCTAGTGACAAGAAACTGCACTGCAGTCCCAAAGGTACAAGTTTCGAATCCACCAGATGCTCTGCTGGAGAAGGAGGAGCAATCTCCTCTTGTACCAGTCAGATCCAATTTGATGGTACACGCACACAAAATAATTAAAACAAAACCCCACAAAATGAAATCAGCCAGTTGACTGAAATGGAGATGAGGAATGAGAGAACTTGAAAATTTCCTTCCAATAGACTCAGTACCTTAAGCTTATTCATTGTTCTCTGAACCCAGATTGCCTGCACTGAAATGGCTTCTTTTATCTCCTTTAAAATTCCTTTTTATATTACTACTCTCCAGCCCAGGGAATGTGAAATTAAATCTCTTTTCTTTCAACAGGAAAGAAGAATAAGTTACGAGTTTACTACCTTTCATGGTTAAGAAACAGGATATTACACAATGATCCCGAAGTAGAGAAGAAACAAGGCTGGATTACTGTCGGGGACTTGGAAGGCTGTATACATTACAAAGTGGGTACGTATCATCAGCTTGGGCTCTAACAACATCTCTGGAGTCAGAATTAATTCTGTTGAGTTTTATTTCATTTCTGGTCTCAGACATTAATGATATATTTTTGACTAATATAAAATAATGCTGGACTTTAAGTATATTTCCAAATAACCTCGAGTGAACTGAAAATCATGCTTTCAGAATGAAGTTCTAGATTCCAGCTTGAACCTTAGTAAGTAAGAAGTTGTGCTGCTGACTCAAATCTCTTCCCTTTCTGATGCTTCGTATCCAACTCATCCCTCATCCCTGAGAGAGAAAGATAGCCAGTCTTTTCCTGTGACATTTATAGTGTGAAAACCTATTGGAGTGTCTACTCTGAGTTGGTTCCAACTCCATGGCAATGACTTTGACCTGAAACCCATAGAGACAAAGAAACCAAAGGAGAGAAAACAAAATATGTCAACAAAATTGGACAAGAGTGGGTGACTGGGTCCAGGCTTGGCAGGCCTACTGCTGTTGCTATGTGCCATCGAGTTAAGTACAACTCACCCTATGAACAACAGAACTGAACCGTGTTTTCTCAGCCTGGTCCGTTCTTCTCTCTAAAACACTTGAGCCCGTTGCTGCAGATGCTGGGCCACTCTATCTCACTGAGGGTCGTTCCTCTTTTCACTAACGCTCCACCTTTCCGAGCATGACGTCGCTCTTCAAGGAGTAACCTCTCCCAGCGATGTGTCCAGAGCATGTGAGACAGTGCTCCGGCATCCTCGCCTTCAAGGAGCACCCTGGCTGCACTTCTCCAGGACGTATCTGTTGGTTCTCTTGACCGTCCGTGGCATGTTTTCTTCTCCAACTCCACAGCTCAAGGCATTACTCACTCTTCTGTCATCCTTATTCATTGTCCAGCTTCCAGGTTTTCAGAAGCAGGAAATCACATAGGAGGAGATTGCCCAATCTTGTCCCTTTGAGTCGTTGGTAGATCTGAACTACCACATACCTTTGGGTTGGCAGCACCATTCCTTACCACTAAGTAACTGTCAAAGTCTAAGTATCCAGTAAGAGAAGTCATCAACATAAATCTGTTCACTCAGTAGAACCCACCAGGGCCCAGGTATACCTCAGAGGAAGGCGTGGAGGGCAGGCCTGGGAGCTGGAGGGTTGTTGGAACGTGGATCAGCAGTAGACCCTCCATGGCCTGTCCCTCTCTGCTCTTGTCTGCCTTGCCCATGTACGGAAGATAAATGGCCAGTAAAACCAAGAGCAGACACAGGGAGCCAATGGGATGGTGACGATTATGTAAATGATCATCTGTCCCACTGACCTGCCTCAGACATTACCAGAGCCCTGATTCCCCTACTCCGTGCCCAAAACAATGACAGCCTTGCTTGTGTCCTGGGCATGAGATTGAAGGATTTGTCTTTGGAGAAACTTAATGACCAGAAAGAAGAAGTCTGAAGGTACTGATATCTGGTGTACCATGAAAAAACCTTGCTGCCTAAGTGACCCGGCGTGAATCCCAGCGGTTAATAAAAACACCTGCTCCCAACAGTGAGTGTGAAAATCCACTAGAAAGAGGTAGACCCAACGGAACAGAAAGAACCTTCGAGGAAACAGTGATAATAAAGTCGTTGTTGATGTTCACTGAACTGACTCGTAGGTGACCCTCCAGTGGTTATGCAGAAGCTGTAGATCGCACAGGAAGAGATTGCCCATCCTACTTTCCTCAGAGCAGCTGGTAGATTAAAACCGCCTGCCTTTGGGTTGGTAGAACAACTCCTTACCCACTAGACTACCAGAACTCCCCAGAAATGAAGAGGAGAAAATTATTTAAAAATTCAGAGCAAAATTACAGTAACTTTGGAGATATTAAAGACATCCTTGTTTCCAGAAAGATAGCATGTTGTTGCTTTGTTAAGAGTTAAAAACAATAGGCTTGAACCATTGCAATGCATAGGACTGTCACTGACCAGTTTTCATACGTAGAATGCCAGGCCTTTCTTGCTAGGCTCTAATAGTCAAGAGGCACAGGTGGAAACTGTTGAGCATCGTGGAACCACGCTGAGCCCCACTGACAGGCTTGTAGTGCTCTCACTGGACGGGAGTTTCATCCTGGACCTTCCGTCTAGGAGACCAGCATTGCGCCACCAACCACCACTTTCCTCACAAATGAAGAAGAAAGGGACCATTTAAGAAATGAGAGATATGGGCTGAGGAGGGACCCAGGAAAGAGAGATACCAAGAAAGAACTCTGGGGAATGAAAAATATGTTGTCAAGGATAAAAACTAAATTTGGAAGTGTTGGAAGATAAAATCCCTCAGGAAGTGAAGAAAAAATGAAAAGTAGGAGATGAGAAATAGAAAGGATTAGTTCATATGATTCAGAATCTCAGAATCATCCTGAGTTCTAGGAGGGGAAAAAAAGGAAATTACCAGAGAAATAGTACTGCAAATGTCCTCAAGGTAAAGGCCTTTAAATCCTGGATTTAAAGGGCGCATCAAGTACCCTGTGCAGTAAAGTTTGTTTGTGGTGTTTTTGTTTTTTAAAGAAAGACAACGAGGTATCTCAACATGAAATTTCAGTATCCAGGAAATAGCCCTCGAAGCTTTTACGTATTAAGCAGAAGTGGCATCCACTTCCTAAACAACATGTCTCTGGAAACTCTATGAACTTTGAGAAATGATGATAGTTATAGAAGGGCTTCAGGCCTTTTGTTCACGGGGTCACTATGAGTCATGCTCAACTTAACAATAAACAACAACAACAACAGAAAAAAAACACATTAAGGACCCACAATCACAGGGACCTGTCCCTGAACTGTTCAACATTGAAACTAAAAGCTTAGGAAGTCTCAGAGTGAGCACATCAACATTCAGAGGCCAAATGATTTCCAACGAGAATGTTGTAACTAGTATTTGATCATATCATAAATGACACGTGGATGCAGAAAGAAACGTTTTTCAGGCCTCCAGTCTCTAAGTGTACAATCCATTTACTGTTTCTCAGGAAGCAACTGAAGGGTCTGTTCTGTCAAAATGAAAACATAAACGTGGAGATTTAGGAAAGTGATCAAGAAAAGGCTCACGATGATGGTGAGGAGAAGACGTGGATGTCAGCTTTGCCACTGACCTCGAGAGGAGTGGTCAGGGGGAGGGGAGTCCCTGATGCCAGCATTGCTGACACACGTGAATGCTAGCTCAAAGAGTGTGGGTTCAAACCCACCCACAGGGGCCTCGGAAAAGAAGACTAGGCAGTCTGCTTCTGAGAAAAATCACCATGGAAGACCCAGTGAAGCACCATCCTCTGAGACTGTGAGGCTGAGACAGGAAAAGGCACGTTTTCAGTCAAGTGTGTAGGATGGCTAAGATCTAGTCAACGCAAAGGCACCTTTTTTTGGTCCTCAGCAGCCAGGAAAGTCTGTTGTTAGGGACCTCTCCAGAGTACTGAAGAGCACTGGTGTCACTCTGGAGACTAAGGTGCGTCTGATACAGGCCATGGTCTTTGCAATCACTTGTTATGCATCAGAGAGTTGGACAATGACCAGGGAGGATAGAAGGAGAATTGATGCCTTTGAGCTGTGGTGCTGGAGACGAGTGTTGAATTTATCATGGACTGCTGAGAGAAACAGGTTCATCCCAGAGAGGATGAAACCAGTCTGCTCCTAGGAGCCAAGGATTCTGAAGCTTCGTCTGACATACTTTGGACATGTTGCAAGGAGGGACCAGTCCTAGGAGAGGGACATCATGCTTGGGAGGGTGGAGGGACAGCACAGGAGAAGAAGACCCTCGATGAGGTGGATTGATTCAATGACTAGAGTAATAGGGGTGGATGTGTCGGAGACAGACAGTGAGATTGGCACAGGATGGAGCAGGGTTTAGGGCTCTTGTACATAGGGTTGCTGTGAGCCACAGGTGACTCGACGGCACATAATAACAACAACAAACTAATTATGTAGCAAAATACCAACAATACATCATATTCGTTCTCACACCAAAGAGAATTCAAATTCATATATACATATGGTTTCTTTTGGAGAAAATAGCTGCTTTCTCTGAGAATAAGCCTGTTTGCAGAGAAAGGCAATGCCTTTTAAATGCTTTTCAAAGAATTAATTTAAATTTCTAAAAAAAAACCCATTCTGATAACACCCTTTAAAATTTTCTTTCTGTATTTGACCTTCATTTGTTACTTAACATTTATTAGTCCAGAGATATCTAAGGATCAAATTTCATATATATAAACTAATATTAAATATAAGTAATCATGTTGTGAATCAGACTTGAAATATTACAGAAGATCAAAAACTATAGCTTTCAATATGGATTATATCTCAAAATCAAGAAGACAAAAAAAATCTCACTGCTGGGCCAGCAGACAGCATCATGAGAGATGGGAAAAAGATTGAAGTTCATTTTACTTGGATCCATAATCTACACCTATAATAGTAGTCGTCACAAAATCAAAAGACTTTGTTGCATTGGGAAAATCTACTCTCAGATACCTCTCCAAGGCAGTCTGCATAAAGACTAAACTGCAGCTGGTCCAAGCTATGGTATTTTCAGTTGCTTCATCTGTATCTGAAAATTGGACAATGAACAAAGACCATAGAAGAATAGATGCCTTGGAATTGTCATGTTGGCAAAGACTTTTTAAATTTACCTTGGATTATCAAAAGATTGGCCCTTAACAGCAGCATCAAAATCCAAAGAACTAACAAATCTGTCTTGGAGAAATGAATGGCGAAGCTTTGTTTCACATACTTTGGACATGTTCTTAGAAGGGTCCAGTCCTTGGAAAAGGATAGCATGTCTGGGAATAAAAGGGCCATCAAAGGAGAGGAAGACCCTCAACACGCTGGATGCGCACGGTGACTGTAACATTCGTCTCAGGTATATCAGAGGTTGTGAGTATGGGCAAGGATCAGACCTGTGGTTCATAGGATTGCTCTAAACTGTAGCTGTTGAAGGGGACAAAGATTTTGAGATTCATCGTAGGACATGTTGTCAAGCTTCTGAATGTTATTCTTCTCACATACCTAAAAATTGGTTTTCCAGAACTTGATAGTGCAGAAATCTCTTTTGACCTCCAGATCGACCACAGGCCCTTCTGTCGTTGCTGGCCTCATCCTTCTAACTGTTGCTGTCTGTTTTTGTTGTTCCGGCATCTGTAGGCTGACCTCTAGCCACACATGCAAAATGAAATGGAGTCAAAGAGTAGTGTTAATTAATTATGTATTACAAAACTGAAAACATTGTAAAAAAAATTTTAAAAAAGAAAATTGAAACCAGCTTAATTTTCAGAAACAGCTTTTGGTTCGATAAGCACTTAGTATCACTGTTTTACTATCTTTTTCCCCCCTTTCAATCAGTAAATATTTGTTGAATACGAAGCAAAACCATAATTGCCAATCAATCATTGTCCAAGTTTCTCTTCATTGAATTTAAGATGCCAATGAGAGCTCTGGTGGCCTAGTAGTAAGAAAGAAGTCGCACTGCAATCCCAAAGATGCATGGTTCAAATCCGCCAGCTGCTCCTTGGGAGAAGGCTGGGAAATCCCGCCTCCCCCTCCAGTGTGATTTACTGCCTCTGAAAACCCGCTGGAGGGTCAGCTGTGAGTCAGTTCCAGCTCAGCTGTACACAGCGACATGGAGTTCTTTGTGTGTTCCGTCTCATTTTTTACAACTTCTAGTTTTCCTTTATTTATCCTTCGTACATTCAGTGTTACAGTTATTCATGGACGTTTGTCCCTGTTTCTCCTCACTTTGAGTAACTTCCTATCTGGGCTGCACTGCTAATACTATATCTACCCAAGTTCCTCTATTGTTGACAGGATTTTCAAAGGCCTATTATTTCAGAAAAGGATGGCTATTCCTGCTTCCTACTCTGCTTTAATTGGGAGCTCTGCTGAAATCTGTCCACCATGGCACTTAAAACACCAGTGGCATAGTTTCCAACATCACAGCAACCCACATGTTACTCAAGTACAGCAAAATGACAGACAAGGGCTTTTTACTGACAAGAGCAAACACTAAACAAACAAGTATATACCCACCTAAGTTGTTACTGATTAGTAACAACGTGTAAATCACTCCTAATTCAGTAAATTCACATATAGGTGTTGTACCTCTGTCATTAAACTCTAGAAATAATCATGCATAAAGAGATCATGGCACAGGGCAACCTGTCCCTGCGTGAGGCTCCTAGAAATGGTTTCTCTCTGGGGTGTTGGAGAAGATAAGGATGTCACAGAATAGAACAGAGTTCAGATCTATTGTTCATAAGGTCACTATGATTCATGCTCAAATCCAGGGCAGCTAACAAGAGCAGCAAGGGAGCTCTGGTGATGTGAGCCCTGGGGAGTTCATTCCACTGCTAACTCAAGGGCCTTTCTAGGAATTAGAGCCTCCAGCAGCTCGGAGAGAGAAAGGTGACAATCTTCTCCCTCATGGTCAACACTCTTGGCACCAGCAGCCAGGAAAATAAAAGACATATTGTGACGGGAAAGTCTGCTGTTAGGGACCTCTCCAAAGTACTGAAGAGCAATGGTGTCTCTCTGGAGACTAAGGTGCGTCTGATACAGGCCATGGTCTTTGTTATCACTTGTTATATATTGGACAGTTGGACAATGACTAGGGAGGACAGAAGGAGAATTGATGCCTTTGAGCTGTGGTGCTGGAGAAGAGTATTGAATGTACCCTGGACTGCTAAGAAAACATACAGATTCATCCTAGAGAGTGTTAAACCCGGCTGCTCCTTGGAGGCAAAGATTCTGAGGCTTCGTCTAACATACTTTGGACCTTACAACATATATGTTGTAAAGAAGGACCGGTCCTTGGAGAGGGACATCTTGCTTGGTAGGGTGGAGGGACAGCACAGGAGGGGACGACCCTCTATGAGATGGATTGATTCCGTGACTGGGGTAATCGGGATGGGAGTGTCAGAGACAGTGCGATTGGCACAGGACAGAGCAGGGTTTAGGGCTGTTGTACATAGGTTCGCTATGAGTTGCAAGCAACTCAACGGCACAGCATGTGTGTGTGTGTGTGTGTGTGTGTGTGTGTGTATACATACATACACACACACATATATACATATATACACACATACATACATATACACACACACATACCATTGAGTTAGAGCCATCTCGCAGCTCGCCCTCCAGCGGGTTTTCAGAGACAGTAAATCACATGGGAGGAGATTGCCCCTCTTTCTCCTGCAGATTCAAGTGTCTTTGGGTTGGCAGCACAGCTCCTTACAACTAAACCACCAGAGCTTCCTCTTTGAGGTTACAGCTTTGGAAACCGGCTGGAGGAACAACTGTGAATGCGTTCTAACCCATCAGCAATGAGTGGGTGACATGCACATTGCAAGAAGCTGAATCTGTTTCCTTGACAGTTCCATACTAGGACCATCACCTTTTATTGTGGTTGGTAGAGATTGATAGATGATGATAGATAGGATGGATAGATAGATAGATAGATAGATAGATAGATAGATAGATAGATAGATAGAGACAGATGGATAAGCACTTACAGATTCACATCTGTTAAAAGAAAATTCTTTAATAAATTGATATCTTTTAAAATGTGTTAATTTTTTTTATTACAGTTAAATATGAAAGGATCAAATTCTTGGTGATTGCCTTAAAGAATGCTGTGGAGATATATGCTTGGGCCCCTAAACCGTATCATAAGTTCATGGCTTTTAAGGTAAGTAGACATATAATTACTTAAAAAGGGCTCCGTTATTTTTATTGGATTTTTCAGTTCCCCTTTGATAACAAAGTTATCCATTTATCAGGTACAAAGACCAATGCCAATATTCATATTTTTAAAGTATAAATATTCTTGATCTTCTTATTCTGAAAGTGAAGTATTTTTAAAAGTTGTAAAATTAGTTAAGTTAAAAGCTGGAGAGCAGAACATTGCATGGTTTAAAAACAAGAAGGGAGTGCATCAGGGTTATATTCTCTCCCCATACATATTTAATAGATTGTTGTTGTTAGATGTCAAGACCCTTGTGACACATAGCGACCCTATGTACAACAGCCCTATGCTTTGCTCTATTCTCTACCAATCGTATTGTCTCTGACACGCCTACTCCCATGACCCCATTCACTAAATCAATCCATCTCATCAAGGGTCTTTCTCTCCTGTACTGTCCCTCCACCCTCCCAAGCATGACGTCCCTCTCTAAGAACTGGTCCCTCCTTGCAACATGCCCAGAGTATATCAGACAAAGCTTCAGAATCCTTGCCTCCAAGGAGCAGTCTGGTTTCACCCTTTCTAGGACAAACCTGTTTGTTCTCCTGGCAGTCCATAGTATATTCAGTACTCTTCTCCAGCACCATACCTCAAAGGATCACATTCTCCTTCTGTCATCCCCAGTCATTGTACAGCTTTCTGATGCATAGCAAGTGATTACAAAGACCATGGCATGAATCAGGTGCAACTTAGTCTTCAGACTGACATTGTTTCTCTTCAGTACTTTGGAAAGGTCTCTGACAGCAAACTTTCCCAGTGCAGTTTGTCTTTTGATTTCCTGGATGCTGATGTCAAAAGTGTTAAACATGGAGCCAAACAACTAAAGTTGTTAACAATCTCAATCTCTTCATCATCTATCATGATTCTGTCAATCAGCCCAGTGGTGAGAATCTTTGTTTTCTTGATGTTGAGCTTTAATCCATATAGGAGGCTACAGTCCTTAACCTTCTGCAGCAAATGCTTCAGGTTTTCCTCAGTTTCAGGAAGCAGGGTTATGTCATCAGTGCAACACAAATTGTTGATGAGTCTTCCTCCAATCTTGATGCCACATTCCTCCTCATAGAGACCAGCCTCCTGGATAATCTGTTCTGAATATACATTGAAAAAGTATGGAGATGGGACACATCTATGGCATACACCCTTCCCAATTTTGAACCATGCAGCGTGTTCTTGTTCTGTTCTGACATCTCCCTCCTGATCCAAGTATAGGTTTCACATAAGCATTATGTAGAGGAGCGTGGCATCATATTGGAGGGAGACTCACCAATAACCTGCATTATGCAGATGACACAATCTTGCTTGCTGAAAGTGAGGAGGAATTGAAGTACTTGTTGCAGAAGATCAAAGAACCCAGCCTTTATTACAGACTGCATCTCAGTGTCAAGAAAACAAAGATTCTTACCACTGGACCGATAGGCAACATTATGATAGATGTAGAAAAGATTGAAAACGTCAACAACTTCATCTTGCTTGGATCCACAGTTAACACCCTTTGTACCAGCAGTCGAGAAATAAGGAGATGTATTGCACTGGTAAAATCTGCAGTTAGGGACCGCTCCAAATTATTGAGGAGTAATAATTTCATTTTGAGGACTAAAATGCATCTGATTGAGTCCATAACCTTTCCAATCACTTGCTGTGCATTTGAGAGCTGGACAGTGAACAAGGATAACAGAAGAAGAATTGATGCCTTTGAGCTTTGGTATTAGAGTACTGAACATCCCCTGGATGGCAAAAAAGAACACACCAAACATATATGTCTTAGAGAGGCTGCAGCCAGAGTGCTTTTTGGAAGCAAGAGTGATGAGGCTTCCCCTTGCATACTTTGGGCATGTTGCTAAGAGGGGCTTTTCCTTGGAGAGCGGCATGATGCTAGGAAGGGTGGATGGTCGGCAGAGGAGAAGACCCTCGACCAGTTGGATTGATGTGGTGACTGCTGCAGTGGTTTCTTGTGTGTCAGGAAGTGTGAGGATGGCACAGGATAGAACAGGGTTCAGATCTTTTGCTCATACGGTCGCTATAAGGTGTACTCAACTCAACGGCACCTAACAACAACACCCTCCTGCGTTTTAGGTCTAAGAGTCATGACCTCTGAGTGACATTCAAGATGGAATGGTTACTGGACAGAGTGCTAATTGTCATACTATCCAATGAGACTCAGAGTGACACCTCCCAGCTGGAACACTGTGGGATATTTGCTCTGTAAAAGGCAAACCAAAAACAGTGCTGCCTCCCAAGGTTGAATGGAAGCTCTAAATCTTGTAATCCTCCTAAGCTTTTCAAGGTCAAGTCTGTAGCACTTAGTTGGTGCTCATGAATACAGAATGCAATGTTAGGGAAACGATCCTGCTTCTTGACATTCTTCAGTTTTCATTGCCTTTTTATTTTTGACCCGAGCTGAATCTCTGGCAATGTATATGGTCACGTTGATTAGTCTTGAGATTCACCAGGGTGCAAATAAGCTGGTCCCTTTCTTTAGCCCATTTTGACTGACCCCAGAGTGCCAGGAAGACCAGTATCTGCAGGCACCCTGATGTAGGCAATGCCACGAGCCTGTCCTTGGCCAGTGTGAAATGATAGTCTATTCTGTCTCTCTGTATCTTACCAGCCCTCACTTTTTCCCCTCTACCTTTATGACTGTTATCTCTCTTGGATTATTTTTTCCAACCACACATGGCACATAAGGGTAGAAATTGCCTTGGGAACATTAGGTAGATCCTCTTGGAGTCTGAATCACAGCACTTTTAAATCGTGCCCTTAGTACAAGTCGCTCACTGACGATGTGCACGAGAAGATAGATTCGGAACTGGAAATGGGCTCCTGATATAACCTCACGTTCACAGAGAGACCTTTTTGGAAGGCATTAGGTTGGTAATAACCAAGAACACTTAGGGGACGAGTCCTTGAAAGCGAAAGTGGTGCTGCTGTTCTGCCCAAAGCTCTCCACGCAAAAGCTCTTCAGTCGAGCTACAGTTCCCGTTGTGGAGTTCTTACTGTCCTCAGAGCAGTGGCCAAAGGGAATGAGAGGGTGCAGAATGCTCTCTGCAGCAGTCCAGACCCAGCCTGGGGAGGGAAGAGCAAAGGCAAGGATTCGGCCAGGAAGGCTGGAAAGGTCAGGTCCTCACCATGACAAGGACAGGAGACATGTTTCCAATGCAAAGAGAGTGATGTTAGCAAAAGGTGAAGGGAGGGCACTTTGCTTGGTGCCAGTGACATTACCACCGAGGCGTTTGTGGTTGTACAACTCCTCTCCTGGTCTCCAGCAGCCACGACACGCAGAGGGTGATAAATGGTACAAGAAAGCAGAGGAGCACATGAGGGCTAGGTAAGGTTTGAGCCAAAGAGTTCAACACACAGAACCTTGCTAAGGTTGGCTGGGACTTTATTTTTTCCTATCTAATTAAGCCCAAATTGCCAACACAAGCCTGAGATCTGATAGTCTGTTCCTGTCCCCTCCCCTTCTCTATTACTCAAAACCCAAATCTTAGATTCCACATGAAGTTTAGAGAAAGCACCAGTCTGACATCTGGTCACCCATTAAAGGAAAAGCATAACTAGCACACACCCACTGTTTCTGAACAGACCTTGCACAGGGCCCAGCTGCCTACTGCAGGTTTTCTGAAGGGACAGAAGCCATGGATGGCCGGAGAGGTCTCTGAATTCGTTAAAGGAAAAGGTTTAGACAGAAAAGGGAAGAATAGCAGTATGTACTCACCACTTTTTAAATATACAGTGAATGATGCCTGTCCTTATTAAAAGTGATAATTCCAAACCAACTTCTCTCTCCTGGAGGTAAAGGCAGCAAGAAAAGAGGCACAATGGGTGGTAGGTTCTGCCTCGGAGAGTGAGAATAGGAATGCAGACATTGCAAGTTCGATTCCAGATCACTGCAGTAAAGCAAAGTGTTTAGGTTTCCGTGTGTGTGTGTGTGTGTGTGTGTGTATGTGTACTATAATGTATTGACTGTGCAATAACATTATTAAAAACTTTGACATATTGGGAGAATTATAAAAATGTGGCACAGAGATGTGAGGTGAACACATGCTGTTGAGACTATGGGGCCAGTAGACTTCCCACAATCTTCAATTTTTAAAACAAAAAGACTCCACCACATTATCTTCAAGGTGTAATAAAATGAAGCACAACAAAACAAGATATGCCTGTAAGATCTGAATGGAAAGAGAATCTCCTGCTTTTTTTAGTCTGAGCAAGTCAGAGATTAACTTCTGGTAGGTAATGGCCAAAGGCAGACATTGTTATGATCACCTCTGTGGACAGCGTGGGTACTCACACGGCGATGTTTTAAAGTCTTTTTCAGATCTCCAGCACAAGCCTCTGCTTGTTGACCTCACGGTAGAAGAAGGTCAGAGACTAAAGGTTATTTTTGGTTCGCACACTGGTTTCCATGTAATTGATGTTGATTCAGGAAACTCTTACGATATCTACATACCATCTCATGTAAGTTCCTGGGAACAGACTATAAAGGGCTCTCTAACAACAACTGGTATACAGAAAGCTTTGGGTTTGCATATTTTTAGTAGATGTCTTTCTGACTTTCCTCATCTGTAAAGCAGATGGACTTTTGGCCTTTTCAATGTACATAGAAAGAAGGCTGGTAGTGCAATGCTGAAATACTCAGTTGCTATCTTAAAGGTCAGTGGTTGGAACCCACCAGTCACTCTGTGAGGGAAAGATGTAAGAATCCACTTCTGTAAAGATTTATACAACCCTAGGGGTAATTCAGCTCTGTCCTGTAGGCCTGTATGAGTTCAGATCAAGGTTTTGTGATTGGGGAGGGGAGTGATTTGATTGATTGTTTTAATTTCAATAGAAAACTTTTGAGCAGACATGTAAATTTAACTTCTTTTTTAAATTACTGTATAAAACTGAGTTTGATGGTATAGTCCTTAGAGAGTTACGTTGCAAACACAAAAGTTGGGCTTCTCTGTAGTTCAGACCCACCAGCGGGTGGATGGGAGAAAGGTAGAAAGTCTCCCCTTGCTCCGTTTATAGCCCTGGACAGAGTCACTGGAGACTCAGCTCTGAGTTGGTTCCAACTCAACAGCAATGAAGTTAAGTTTTACATAAAACTGTCAAAACTAACACCTACAAGTAGAGCATAGTTGACATTTGCGCTCCACTTGTCTTTATGGGTATTGAGTTACATGTAAATTCTCATTTTCCTTCAGCGGCGTAAACGTTGTCTTATTAAGCAAAAACATAATAGATGTTCCCTTATTTTCTATATTTAAAGTCAGACTGGTCCTTATCTGGGTTAAATTCAGTAGGAGTTGGGCTGCTGACACCAAGGTGGTACCTCTCCGGCAGTTCATGACCATCACTGTTTCTGAGGAAGAAAGACAGACATTCTCCCCAGTGTGATTTAAAGCCTCCTGAAACCCCACTCGGAGCAGCTATAACTGCCAACTCCATGGCAAAGGGTGAAGGCTGAATTTTTTTCCCCCAGTGGATCTTAAATGACTGGCGCAGAGCCCCTCGTTAATAATGTAGTCAGAATATTACTGTACTATTACTCATTGCCTAAAGTATGTTGTTTTCAAAGGAAACTGCTCGTGGGTCCATTTTGTGCAGTTGCCAGACGTTAGATGTGTGACCTACAGGAATACCACATACAATAGAAACGACCAGCAGGAAAAGATTAAGCCTGGTTTGTTTCTGATATTTCAAGATCTTACCCCAAAGAAGTACAGTAAGAGGCAAGGGTGGAGGGGGTGGCAGCGAGTTCTTTTAGTGTATTACATACCCAGAGTAGTCACGCAAGGCTGTATTACAACTTGGAGCACCTGCACTGACTGAAAGTACCTATCCTCACAGAAAAACAGCTGGGGCCTCATTGTGTGACCTGAGTGATTCTGTCACTCTTACCCAGGACACAGGTATTAGGCCACCATCACATTCCCAACTCAACTCATTTCCTTTGAGTCAGAATTAATTCATAGTTGACCCTCCATTGAGTTTCTGAGGCCTTAAATCCCACAGGAGGAAGCTGCCTACATTTCTCCCTTGGAACTATTGGTGGATTTGAACCTCCAGGGACGTGCAGCCTACAGTCTGGTGCACAAGACCTGGGAGTCAAACCCACCCCGCCACTATTTCTAGAACAAGCTGTCCCATATTCAGTACAATCGCATGTGTGCTGGTTTATTTTTTTCTAAACAAGCAATAATTCCATTTTTTTTTCTAACCAAACCATTCATTGGGATTATTCCACCACCCTATAAATAGTAATCTGTGTTACATGCCCGTTGCCCATTTGGTAAGCTTGCATCTTGATACCATGGGCATTTGGGCTTGCCTCCAGCAACTCAGCAGGCTTACATTCATCCATCCTTTTCAGAAAAAAAAGGTTATTCTAATGAAAACACAAGAAATTCATTGCCAGAATATCCTAGATTCAAATCCCAGTTTGTCACCAAAGCCTGTTGCATCACTGGTCAATTTAAAGAACTCCTGAGAAGCAATTGTCTTGACAGGGGAAGAGACAAGGACAAGGATAGCTCCAGGTGCAAAGGGCACAATTTCAGTTTGTTGTTCATTGAGTCACTATGAGTCTTAGTCAGCTTGATGGCGCCAAACAATGCCAGCAGCACCATGTAAAGGGACTCAAAACTTGCAAAGAACCTGGTCCAGTTACTGGCACGTAGTAGATACGTCATGATTGTTGTTTTGTAAGAGCATGTAAAAAATTGTGTTCCCAACATAGCAGCCAAGTGTGCATTGGATATAAGAAAGATCAATGTTAAAATTAAACAAAGTCAATTTCAGTCTCTAGCATGAAAAGGAAAAGGGAACCAACACCCTCTTTTAGAGTTCTTAGAGTTAAGTATTCAAGGCATTGTATTCTCAAAAAGTTGAAAATAGAAATACCATTTGAACCAGCAATTCCACTACTAGGAATATACCCCAAAGAGACCATAACTGACAGCCAAGCAGATATATGCACACCCATGTTTATCGCAGCTTTGTTCACAGTAGCAAAGAGTTGGAAACAACCCAAGTGCCCATCAACAAATGAATGGATAAAGAAGTTCTGGTATATTTACACAATGGAATACTACACTGCATTGAAAAACAAGGAACTCATGCAATCTTATTCAAAATGGGTGACCCTGGAGGACATTATGCTGAGTGAAACATCTCAGTCACAAAAGGACAAATACTGCATAGTGCCACTGTTGTAAAACGGGACTGACATTGTGGTTGGTGGGAGACGGAGAAAGATGGGATAAATAATTTAAACTGCATTGAAACAGATGAGAGAGAGAACTGTTTACAAGAGATATGTGATTAGGTATTATTATCATGACAGGAGTCCAGAATGAAGGCTGCATAGGGGAGTGGACTTGGAAGAAGGGATTATATAACAATGAAAGAATTTTTTTTTAACTTTTCAAAGAGAAGAACGAACTGGAGGGGAGGGATGGCCAGGGAGAAAAGTGCAACAATGAATGAATGAATGGAAATCCAAAATCTCTGTAAATTTTCATTAAAATTAATAATAATAATAAAATTATTTTAAAAAGAGAAGAGCAAACTGGGGAAGGGCAGTGGGCAGGGAGCAATGTGCAACAATGAATGAATGGAAATCCTAAGTCTCTGTAAACATTCATTAAAATTAATAATAATATTTAAAAAAGGAAGACTAATGCTTGGGTCTTTTTTGTCTTCTAGATTCAGGGCAATATCACTCCTCATGCTATTGTCATCTTGCCTAAGACAGATGGGATGGAGATGCTGGTGTGCTATGAGGATGAGGGGGTGTATGTCAACACCTATGGCCGGATAACGAAGGATGTGGTGCTTCAATGGGGAGAAATGCCCACGTCTGTGGGTAGGTTAACCATTCCTTATCTCCTTCAGCAGTTACAAGCCCCAAATGAAACAAAAGTCAAGAAATGTGAAACAACTATTTGATTGCACCAAAAAAAAAAAGTCTGTGAATAACACTTTGTAAGACTTGCTTTGTCTGTTTATCCCAAGTCATTTGTCATTTTTGTGGTTTAAGATGTGAACAGATGCTGTGAGATTTTGCCCATCTAATGTTTTTAATGCCGTTTTGGAAATTCCTTTTGACAGCCTACATTCATTCCAATCAGATAATGGGCTGGGGCGAGAAAGCTATTGAGATCCGGTCAGTGGAAACAGGACATTTGGATGGCGTATTTATGCATAAGCGCGCTCAAAGGTTAAAGTTTCTATGTGAAAGAAATGATAAGGTAAATCCGTTTCAACATTTGCATTAGTGTTTGCATTTTAAGAGACCACCAGGTACCTGTGAAACCTTCATTTTCCTTTATACTGATTTGAATCACATCTGTGTTAAACAATATCCTCTTGAAATGGCATTATTTGGTTTGACTCATGTGAGCACTCAAAATATATTATCCACATATCAAAAGAAGCATAAGAGCATCTTGAAATGTCTTACATACTCTTAGTAACTTGTGGCCTATAGGCCTGATGATAACACAGCACATATACTGAATCTTCTCTATAAACTGTGGCCGTTGACCCGTCATTAATCACCTCACAATGGGTCAGCTTTGTATTTTCACTTGTAGACTTTTCACGAAGGCCTATCAGGACCTAACCCATCACATTATCTTCACCTTTAAATGTGAAACATTTGATACGTAGTAATGAGAACTTTTTAAACCTGTCACCCATTCCTTAAGGAATGCACAATCACAAACTCAACTAGTGCCATGTCCTGTGTCATCCCAGCCATGTTTCTTCCAAGTGTCATAGGGGGACTGCTTGCCAGTGAAGGTGACTCTATCCACCAGGCATGAGTACCACAGAAGGGCATTCTTTAGCAGTACCAGGTCCACCTTACCCGCCCTGTACTGAAGCTTTTTAGTAGATAAGATGTACTAAACTTGTAAACTCATCCTTCATGACTGTGACCGATACAGAAATGCTTTCCCCAAAGCAGTAGATATAAACACATGTAGAAAGACATTAGTGTCTGCCCCCCAACCCCCAAGCTTAGTCTTGTCTTAGTTCAAGCTTGCAGATGTGGGTCCAGAGTAGATTCATTCAGCCCTGGCCAAAACGCTGGCTGGTCTGGGAAACTGATGTGGTCTGAGAAGACAGTGGCTAAGGGGTGGCAAGGGGACGCCCAGGGGCCACACCAGAGTATGGCCAGAACAGATAAAACCCCTAGTGACACGGCAGCACCCACCCCGTCTGGCACAGACCCACACACTCGAGTTGATAGTCATCTCTCTCAGCTTCTCTGTCCCCACTATCTTCACTCCACCTCAGTGTCTGAGGCCCAAGATTTAGAGACCAGGGCATACAACCTAGAAAGAAGAGCAGTCCCATCTCTCCCCCTCTGTGGTCTTTTCGTGGGTCCTCTCTGTGCTTTCCCTTTTGAATTAATTGACTGTAACAGTAGCATTAGCCAAACAACTAGAATTTCCACAAGACCTCCGAAGGAGATAGCATTCTTCTGAAAAGGTGGAAAGGAAGGAGCAGAGACTTTTTACTAGTGATAAAAGCAAGTGCTTTGGATCAAAGCTAAGTCTTGTTTGACTGAAGGGCGAGGCCACAGCCTAGAATATTCTTTTCCTGGTGCCATGGTTCATTTACATTCCGTTCAAACAAGCAGTAACCTGAATTCTCACTTTTCTCAACTCTAATAAATATGATTCAATAGACTCAGACCTAATGGACTGTCGTTCCGCTTATTCCTGCCGTTAATCTCATTTGGCCTCAGAGATGCCAGAGTCGGCAAATGGTGGACAGGACAGGCATTAAACTACCTGACCCAATGTGACTAGAATTTTATTAATATTATTTCAAAAATTAACAACTAAAGTTGCAGAGTCACAGATCCCAAATGTCCCAACTTGAAAATATTCTCTCCAAGCTCAATTTTGTCTTTTTGTCACCATGGAAGAGAGAAGGGGAACCTCTGTACCTTTCTAGAAATTATCAAAGGGCTTGTGATGTCCTGAGCCACAAATCCAGTGTATGATTCTAAGCAGTAAACAGTCTTTTAGAATGTGAGCACTAAAAGGTTAGATCCTGAATCAACATGCAGCCCCATCAGTGGCCCTGGCGGCCCCTGTCACAGTCAGTGATAGTAATAATCACCGTATGATAATATAAGCTGGCGTGTTTGCATAGGGTGCACTGTGTCCGAAAGCACTTTAACAGACACTAGCCATTGAGTCCTAAGAGCTGGCACGTGGCAAGGTCAGGGCATAAGAGAGAAAAATGGACGGTTGAAGAAGAAAAGAGGGAAAAAGGATGAGAAAGAAAAAAAAAGCCACCCAACCCATGCAGTTGAACTAACTTCTTTTTAATTTCAAACAGGTATTTTTCGCATCCGTGCGATCTGGAGGGAGTAGCCAAGTGTTTTTCATGACCCTCAACAGAAATTCCATGATGAACTGGTAACAGAAGAGCACTTGGCACTTATCTTCATGCCGTGGTTTCTAATTTAAAAGAACATTTAACTCGTGCGGACTTTTTGCCAGTCTATAGAGGCAGAATCAGAAGGCTTGGTTGAACATAACCCTTTCCCGTTTTCCTCTCCCTCCACCCCTCCCAGTACAGTCCATCGTGAAAGGCTGCAACCTGGTTGAGAAAGAGAGAGAAAAAAAGGGGGTCAAGAGTTTTCCAGGAGCGCCCCGAGAACGCTGCATTGTCTGTGGACAAAGATGGACGTGTGACCTTCGGAGTTAGGGATAGAAACAAATAATTGTGTGCTGTTATGATTCAGTTGTGTTTCGGTGGGGTTTGAGCTTTTTTTTTCTTTCTTTTTATAAAAAAAAATGACAAACTTTTTCTTTACCCCCTGATTTTGTAAGAATGGGGAGAGAATTCCTACTGGGGGGCGGGGGAAGGAGTCTGTCTTTAATTCTGTCTGCCTGCTAGCTTTAAGTATATGGTCTGTGATAAAATGTCCTATTTCAAGCGGAAAGAGACAGCACAGTTCTCCTCACACCGAAGGCCGTAACTCCATAGTGGGGGTAATTATTGAACTCTTCTGCCTTCTCCAACCCAAAAAAAGAGGTTGCTTTTTGACAGCAACTGGCTAATGAGTTTTTAAGAGAGAAGAAAAATACTAGTTTTTCCCCTCTTTTGGGAAATAGCGTTTAAATGGCTAAACTACTAGCCTTAGACTAATAAAATCCACTCCCATTTTTGTGAGTCTGACAAGGCCGTCTTCTGACGTGGCCTTCTGGGGGATGGAGAGTGTGGAGTGAGGTGATGGTACTGTTGAGTTGACTAGTGATGGAGGGATCCCATAAAACAGCATTCCTTCAGCAGCAGATCAGGGCAAAAAGAGGGGATGGCAGACGAGGTCAGGCAGAAAGAGTGCTGGAAACAAGCTAATATAGAGACATTGTTTAAATGCACAAAGCCTCGATGGCTAGGAAGCCATAGTGTGTGGGCTTCATTCGGACTGAGACTGTGAAATTCCGTCTGGGAATGAATGGAGGCGTGGGTGGCATCAGGCTCTGGCCACTCCCATCTCTCTCCTGAGGGTGCATGCACCCCTTTCTTAAGATGAAAACTGTGACTGAAAAAGAACAATCCTAATAAATGTTTCTGAGCTGCCTGTGTTCTCTCTGGGTCGGTGAGAGACGGGACAGAGCCTGCCTGAGACACAGCGAGGTGTCATTGGTTCAGATGCTTCTAGAACTTGCAAGGAGGCTTTGGCCAAATTGCTGCGAGCCTAATCATTTTACCTTCCTCCAAATTACCCACCATGCGGTAAACAACATTTGTGCAGAAGTATGTATGTATTTAGTTCAGGTTGACTTGTGTCCTCTAAACACCACTCGGATGATTGGACCTTCTCCGTGACTGTGGGATTATTTTTCCAAAGCTACAAGCATGGCCGCCTGTGGTATCAAGGTGTTGCAAAATGATATCTGTGTTGCGCTTCCTGTTTTAACCTACCTCGTTTTGTTTGTTTTCGTTTCACTGTTCATCACAGCAGTGTTACCTCCAGGAGACATATAGAGAGCTGAACTGGCAATCTCAGGTGTATTCACATTTTTCAAACAGAACAGTAGTTGACCAAATTGTTCTTTTAACAATGAGAAATAACCACCACCACCAAAACTTAATATGGCCTGTTTCTAGAGAACCATATGATTACTGTAAACAAATGTCTAAAAAAATTATATATATATGATTCTACTGATTTTTGCCTGAATACATGAGCAGCTGATGTACTATTAATGAGAACTATTAATTAGGGAATTCGGTGGCATTTCAATCTGGTGGTTTCTGTGGGTGTGTTGGGGAGGAAATAGCCCAGTTTCTGGGTTTTGTATGGATGTCCCTTCCTGTCACGTGATTTGTCATTTGCATTTATTCTAAGCAGATAACGCGCAGGAATGGAGTTGAGGATTGTCTTCAGGTAATCCCCTCTTGTCCTTATGGTCCTGTTAGCTCCCAAAAGCAATGAAATGCCTCCCCCCACCCCGTTCTCATTTTTACTGCTCAATTGTGCTGCTGAACAGAACTTCGTATCTTCATAAATTCCATGCAACAAATTCAGCAATAAGGCTTTGATTGAATATAGCAACTACTGAAATTGGATGCTGATGTGGACACGGCATGTCCCTCGGGGCCTCGTCCCTGAATTCGGTTGCCACTCGCTCTTTATATTGCTGTTGTGGGAGTTTAAACCAGAAGCTTCTTTTAAGTTATGTTGCAAACTGATTGTTTTGTTTGTTTCTTTTGTTTCATTTCATTTTTTCCCCTAAACAATATGTTCAAAACACACAGCTTTAAAACGATTTTTTTTTAATTGTGGGATTTTTGGGTACAGTTAAGAAATAAAAGGGAATCATTGTGTTTAAACATAAGGTAGTTTGTGAATGTATTTTTTAAAACCTAGATTCATTGAAGCAAAATCATAAGACAACAATATTAATGCAGTCTTGTTTACAGTATGTACAATGACGTAACATAGAAGACGAGCTTTCTGGTGCCAACAATAAAACACAGACGTGAAACATCAAGCCATGCCTTTTATATTTTTGTACAACTATTTGACACTGAGTCTAAGGCAAGACATGCTTTAAAAGGACCTTCCCCCACAAATCTATACCCCTTAAATATCTAAAGAATTCCTTGAAGTTTTCATCAAGAAAAGTTCCTTCTCTCCATCAGGCCCTGTCACAGATCCCTTGAGATTATGCAGAATAGTCCAGAAGGTGACCCTGTGTCTTCACACTTTTCTTAGCTTTTTGGCTCGCTTTAATTTTCTCTCTCCTCTCCCCTCTCCCCTCTCCCCTCTCCGCTCTCCCCTCTCCTCCTCCTCCTCCTCCTCCTCCTTCTCCTTTCTTCTTCTTCTTTTCTCTCTCTCTCTCTCTCTCTCTCTCTCTCTCTCTCTCTCTAAGGGAGAAGAGAGTAGTTATGCTGTTCATCTCTCTTAACAGCAACTTTATAAAAATGTCCTCCGTTTTGGTCAAAAACTGACTCACTCTTATTTTCCACAAAGAGAAACTGGCCTTCTGCCCAAAGCATGTTTTACAACATCTTCAGATCCTTGCACAACTAAATTGATGGTCGTTTAGGAAGAGCCCCTCGGCTTGGCACACTACAGCCTTCTTTCGGGTCTGATAGATGATCATTATTCCTGGGTGGCTGCCAGGGCCACTGCAGCCTGAATTCCTGTATCCACTGTGGTAGAAATTAGTGATCTTCATTTGAAGGTCCCTTCCTGGCAAGGACCCCTGACCCACTCCATTCCAGTTCCACACCAATCATTGTCACGGCACACAGTGTAAATGAAGTCAACTTTCACTAAGTTCTATCTAAACACAGGTGGTTCTACTTAGATAGATTTCATTCACTTTCTTGGGGACATTTAAATAATGCTTCAAAAAGACCTAGATCTCTTTATTTACTCAAGAGTGTAGATTAAGTGGTAGGGTGAACTCTCACCAAACCGCTTGGGGCAAGGATTCCATTTGTCTAACACTGAGTCACTGCTTTCCCAGATGCACTTCGAACATACTTTGCTCCAAGAACACACATTTTGTAAAAGCGTCTTGATTCCTGGTTGTCCAGACCTACTAACATTTTTTTCTGTCTGCTTGTGTGACTCATTGGTGTCTCTGGTCCCTCCTGTGCAGTGGATTTTAAAGAGATGTGAAATTCAGGCCCAGGCCATGTTGGTGTTGTCCACTGGGAGACAAGGAAACGCGGCTGAAGTCTGACCTCACATTCCGTGGAGTTCAGAGGAAACGTTTTCCCCACGATCACACGTGTCAGTGTGAAGCATGGAAGAGCTCTCCGTGTTAATAACGTGTCCTGTCTTTGAAGGTCTGCTTGAGCATTTGTGCGGATCGCTTTCCAGCATAAGATGTGCTACTTTTTTTTTTTCTGTCAATAATAAGTAGTTAATGATCAAACTTAAAACCAATTTCCATCAAGTAGATTCTGTCCCATGGGGACCCCATGTGCATCAAACCTGCTGGAATATGGGAATAGTCACATCAAGTTTGTCTGTTTTGTAAATGACCCACCCGTGCCAATTGCTTTCCAGAATCCTCTCTGGCACCTTCTATCTTCTGGCCATCTCAAAACTTTCAGTGGCTTGGTACCTTACCTTACAGTTCATGCCTTGCAAGTTTAGATCTAACCAAATAGAGCAAAACAAAGCAAGCCCACCCAAAAGCAGCCCCCCCACCTTGTGTACTGTTGAAAACTGACTCAGAGTTGACTGACCTGTGGATTTTGAGAAGCAGTAAGTCGCCTGGGAAGAAAGTGCCTGTCTTTCTTCCACAGAGCCCCTGGTGGATTTGAACCGCCTATCTTTCAGTTGGCAGCTCAACTCCTTCCCACTAATCCAGCGGAGTGTATGTGCAATATGAAATCCAAAAGCCTAAAGTAGACCTCATGTACCAGCCAATTTTGGGTTCGAGCAGTGGGATGGTTTTGGGAAGGAACCTGAGGTGAATTGCATTTTCAGGGGTCTCTCTCATAAAACATGCAAAACTGATGTGATGTCAGGAACTCCAGCAGGAAGAAAACCTCTTGAGAATTTGCAGGTTACAAAATGGACAATTCGAATATTTCCTCGGAATATTTCCTAGTGGTGGGGTTTTGGTTTTGGGGGTCTTACACTATACCATTATTCTGGGACTTTAGATGGATAAAATTATCAGCAGTTCGCACAGCACTAACTAGTCAAAGATCATAGCTCTCTGTGCTTTGAACTTTTCTTTTTCTAGGCCTTCCATCCCAGGAAGTGCCAAAACGCACCAAAATAAAAATTGCCATAAAAAAACATATTGTAGACTCCCTTTACCCCAAGATATTATGGGACAAATTTTGATCTTTTCGATCCAGCGCAAAGTCATGGGCTGTGTATGTGTGTGTCCATAAAGCCAAATAATTGGATGAAGACTAGGAAATCCTGTCAGTAAAATACAAATATTGTGAAGTTTCAGATTTTTTTTTTTCCTTAGCTTGGGATAGACATCTTCAAACTCATTGAACTCATTGCACAAGTTGGTTTGCTTTTGAGGGATGGTTTTTATCAGCACTGAGTTCAATTAAAGTGTTGAGGATGAACAAATGCTGATAAAAGGTAAGGGTTTTGTGGTTGGTTGGTGGGTTGGTTGTTTGGTTGGTGGGTGGGGTTTTTTTATGGATTATTATTTGTACATAGCATATATCTATGCTCCAGTTGTTCCTTCTTTTTTCCCCTCCCCCCAGGGGTTAGTAGTGTTAAATATAAATATTGTATTATGATTTATGTAGGAAACCTCAGACATGA